AACCCCTTCCTTTGGGGCCACAAATTTTTTTGGCCGGGAATTTTTTTCTTGGGCCAACCAGCATACCCCCAAACCCCCCAGAAAGGAACGTTTGCCCTTGGGCAATCATTTTTTGGGGAAACACCTCCCCTCCTTTTAAAAGGGGGGGTTTAACCATTTTGGCCCGAAAAACCTAGCCCCCCTGGAATTAATTCTTTTTTCCTCTTGACCCTTGGTTCCAAATGTGAGGGATGGAAGGGATTTGGGGGTTTTTTTTAAAAAAAATAAAAAAACCTTTGCCCCCCCCCCCCCCCCCCATTTTTTTGCACCTTTGGCAAAGTAGGAAGGAACGATTGACCATCGGTGATCGGTCCTGTGGGAACAATCTCCGCCCTCTCGAGGACGCGTGGTCAATGGTCTAACCGCTAAGGCATGCGACACTAAAGAGTACGCCCTCCCCCCCCCCTTCGTTTCACGCCGTTGTTTTCAGCGCAACCACGAGAACGAAGCGCGCATTTCGGACAGGCTTAAGGGGCTCGAGGTGGCCGTCCTTGGTACTCTCGCTCGTATGGATGCCGTTTCAGAGGAGACCGCAAAAGTGCAGCAGGAGTATCTCGCATCGCAGTCCGTCCGGTTATAGCAGCAGCTGCAAGCATCCAACGTTGTCAAGGTTTCGAGGATTGATACTTTGTTGTTGATGTCGAAAACTGCGGTCATGACGAGAGGGAGGGAGGGAGGGAGCAACGAAGGAGACAGATGGCGGGAGCCATGGGCGCGGAGGTTGGTTACACCGTCCATGCCTGAGGTGACTTCGCCGGTGTCGCAATGGGCTAAAAAATGCATGAAAAGAATGACGGCAATTGGAAGATAAAGAGAGAGGGAGGTGTGTGCGTGTACGGTGAGGTACGGAACGGTTTAAGGTTTTGCTGGCTGTGCAGAAGAAGCGTAAGGAATCGAGATATAGAGGGTAATTGGGCAGGAAGTGTGACTGCTGCGTGCAGCTTTCGGGTGGATGATCGTTTTGTGGACGGAAGTAAATGTTAATGTTGATCTGGGGGTGATATTTGCACGGGGTGACTGGTTGTGTGTGTGTGTTTATTTTTTTGGAGAGATCATGATGGAAACAATAGTGACCGACCTGTTGTGTTTTTCGAGCGATGCGTGCGTGAAAGGATTGATCCGTACCATGTGGGAACGTTTTGGTGTTTGCGTGCTTGGTAGGGAAGAGGGTTGGTTTGTGGATCTTACATATCCTGCTGGAGCGATGTAGCCTGCAGAGCACAGCGATCGATGTTGTGATAAAGGGGAGCAAGCGTAGGGGGTGGGGGTAGGCTGGGCGTATTGTTTACTGGTGACGCGTGTGTTCCGGTGATGGTTTCAAGTGGAACAGGGCGGCGTAGAAACAGAGGTATTGATGGCGGCGGTGGGGTTTAGGGGCGTGTGTGGTAGAAAGCGCTTTCGGATGGCATGTGCTCGGTCGATGACTGACGATTGTTCTTACGTCTCAGGTGTTTTTTATTTGTTCCTTCGTGATTGCTGTGGTGTTTTACACCCATACAGGAGCATGATTGTTGAGGTGGACCATGAGCTTGGCTTTCGTAGCCTGCCGTCTGCTGGCAAGCCGGTTCCCCCCCCCCCCCCCCCACCCGCTTCACCCGTCCCACCCCGTCACGTTTGGTACAGTCACACGGGTTTTCCGCTTCGCCAAAGGTTAACGAGAGGGTAGAATGATGCCCTGTACAAGTAGAGGCAACGGGGTACAGCGGTTTCAGCCGAGTGTTTAAGATCGTAGCTTGCAACTACTTGCTTCCTTTCTCTACCGCACCATGACCTACTGAAACTGGGGGCAAACGTTTTTTTCGCTGTTGGCAGGAAGAGGAAAAAATTTCGGCGCTCGCTGTACACGACACCACAGCCAGTCAGTCATCTTGCAGTATTTCAAGGTTTGGTTAGCGTAGAGTTATTTAAAAGGGCGGAAGCCTGGAGCATGATGCCCCTGATTCCAACACGGCTCATTTGTTGTGTTGACCTTGTATTGGAATCCCTGTTGGTCTGTATTAGAGTATGATGTGGGTATCGATTGGTCTGTTTGGTCTTGTATGTATTTGTCCTTGCTTTGTTTCCGCGCCGCCCGCTACGTTGTCCCCATCTTTTCGAGCGAAGGGTTAGGGTTTGATGTGGTAGTGTTGTTCTGTTTGGACCTTCGGTGTTTTGTTCGGGTTCTATGCGTTCTCCTTCCTCTCTCGAGTTTCTCTCCGAATTTCGTCTGTTGTTGCAAACCATGACAAACTCAAGAAAACGATTGTTTCGGCTCCGTGTGCGTTGGTCTATACTGGTATTCTACTCTGGTTGCCCTGTAAATCACTCCAAGAAAATTGGTTTTGAAAGGAACAGACGACTTGAGCCGCACCGATTGATTCGGAAGAGATAAAGTAAGAGTCGCGGAGGAGATTTGCCTCGCGATCGGGGCAGATATCAAGCACCCTGTCGTAGCTCCCAGAAAATCGCGTTATTTCGGTGTCGACTTTGCTTCAACGCAACTATCAGCACCATTCGGGAGCGTCAGGACCGCTCGTGGAAGACACGCCGTAGGAGTGCCTGGCCAGCTGCTGTGAACACACGTGTCTGTGTCGTCAGCCTGAAACCGGTTCGAGCAAGATAGTTGGGCAGACTCTTCTCGGATGTGTATGTGTGGGCATACAAAACGTGCACAGCAGGATCGCAAAGAAACTAACGCCTCTAAGTTTTCTCAGAACCACATGATGTGAAGGCAGAGGGCGGACACATTGATTAGGCTCATTTATTCTGTGTTCCAATGTTATTTCATGTTCGAAAACAAGCACGAGCCACGAGTCGAAGGGAACGGATTAACTCAGAGCAAAGGAGAATTCCTTTTCATTTCTTTCAGGCCGAAAGGGGGGACAGACGTCAGCAAAGCGTCCAGAGTCGCGAGTTTAAACACAGAACGTCGCATGTTTTCCTAACTATTGATATTATACTGATTTGGTTGGTCGATCTTCCGTTTGAGAGTGCGACCGGCTGCTGCCAACAAGGGCTACACCGCCAAGAGACCTACAGCGTGATAAAAAGAGCCCCTGCCTCATTACACTGCCGCCTGGCTGCTGGAATATGTCGTCAAAGACGAACACGTTGCCAAAATCCTACTTGGCGGCATTGACATAAATATGGCATTGACACACTACAACAAGCGGTATCATCATCATCAATTCATCCACCCACATATGCACCAAAAGCGACAATAATAACAAAAAAAACAGGCTACGCCCATTGCGTTCTGAACGAAAAAAACGTTAGCACAACGACACATCACACACATCGGGAATAAACCGCTCTAAACCACACACGCTGTCCGCGAGGCCGTATCAGGCAAGCTACTGTACCTTTGACCCTTTCGACTGGCTAAAACACTGACATGCCGTGCAACCAGAGCCTTGTCAGCAACAACGAACACGTACCGTGCGTTACGTTTCTTTAAATCTTTGTACGATGTGCTGATTTGGTCGGCCTCGCGCGTGAAGGAAAGCAATAATAATCACACCTGACTCCTTTGAAATCTACAGAGCCTTCAACCTGACCACGCCGGTCTCTCTCTCTCTCTCTCTCTCTCTCTCTCTCTCTCTCTCTCTCTCTCTCCCTCGTCCGTCCCCCGCGAAACAGCCCAACCGCAGAGAAAATAACCCGTGGTCAGCAGCAAGCACCAGCCAACCGTTCACCGCAGGACGGCGTGGGTCCGCGTGCGGTGCCGTGGGTGCTCGCTCAATACTGCTGCGATTACCTCTTTACTCAAGTACATCATGACGCAACTTTGAAACGCGACAAACGTCCAGTGTAGGCGCGTGTCTCGTCTCTAACTGAACATTGATACTACTTCGACGAAAATCCAGGGTACACAACGGAGGCAGAAGCAGAAATTATTTTCCGACAAGAAATTCCCAGGTCAGCTCGCTGGTGTCTGTCTCTCGTCGTCGAAAATCCTGCTCCCAAGTGCAACTCAACTCAACCCTCCTCTAACAGTCATGGCGGCAAGAATTATCACGAAAGAAAACAAACGACATAGAAAACCCAGTGTTCCTGTTTCCACCCCTTTCGTACAACACAGCAGCACAACCACACAAACCCAACCGCGGCGGCGAGTGCCAACAACGAACGAACGTACGGTACGAGGCCCGCACGAGTCACGTCACAGGAAGTAGGCGAGCAGATCACTAACGGAGATTATGCCCTTGCATCTTGCCTCCTCATCCACCACAACGATTCGCTTGAACCGAAAGTCTGCGAACTTCTCGAACACCGTCTGCCGCGCAAGTACGTCATGGTAGACAGGGCAATCAGCGATTGGGGGGGGGGGGCGTACTCATAGTCGTGCATGCCGTAATCGTTAGACCATTGACCTCGCATCCCTACAAAGCCGGGACGGAGCACGCCGGGTTCTCACCGGACCAGGCTCTCACATCACCAAGCGCGAAGCGCCGTGAGGTATTTGGCGAGTCGCATGAAGGGTGAGCTGCATCCTGCTAAGGGTGTTCGGTAACTTGTGCTTACTTCCTTGCGTACGGATGACAGCTGCATATGACTTAATTTATTTTCTGGTGATTTCACTTCTAGAGACAGTTATAAGCACTGTGTAGCTGCCTCGACGATGCTTGACCAATTTAACACAACGTGGTGCGATCATCCCCCTGTGCGCGGAGTGAGGTTTCTCCACCCCGCACAACATGATCTACTCGACCACCATTATGGTTACCGCCAAAAAAAAAACAGAGGTAAAAAAAAAACGGTAACCTGGTTGCCGAGTTCACGAAGTGAATTGGCTTCTTTTACAACGTCGTTGCCAAGCGACGAAAACCCAATCCCGATGGCAAACACCGGGGGGGGCGGCTTGTTTTACAACGTCGCTGCCAAGCGACGAAAACCCAACCCCGATGGCAAACACCGGGGGGGGGGGCATACAGCGTTCGTTACGTCACGCAAATAAATAGATGCACTATTGCAAGTGATCCCGCTGGAATGGGCTCATGGGCGAGCACAAGGGTGATGATGCAAGATGAAAATAAAAGCAGGGAGCAGGACCAATCCACACCCGGCTGCCAGCTGCGGTGCGACGTTTCCCCAGCTCAACAGCTCACACAACACAAGTGCTGTTGACTCGGAAGAGCCCAGCGAACCTCGAAGAACCAAAAATAACCGAGCTACAAATCTGTCCTTTGTCTTCAAGCACCTGCTAACTTACTGTTGCGAAGGTTCTACTAGTTGGGCCCCAGCCCACGGACGGAGGGGAAAGCACTCTCGGAGGCGTTCGCTAGGTACTTTTGGTCGGTAGTTAGCCTGTGCATATAATATACCTGAAGCGTGTCTTGCGGGGAACACGTTATCAGTCGATCCCTAAGCCCCTCGTTCCCTGGTTGTCCCAAGATGTCGCTCAGCTTGCGGTCCAGGTTCTAAAGGAGACAAGAAAAAAAAAAAAAATCGCGGCGTGCATGATTGGACTACAGGAGAGGCACTGGCACCCACCGAGTAAAGAGGAAAATCCAATAGGCGTTAAAACCACTGGGGACCTACGGTCTACAACGGGTAGCAAGCACTCACTCAGTCGATCCTCCACTCCGCTGCAACCATAACCACTGCACCAAGACTCGAATATCACGCTCCGCATCGCCTCCCTCTCCCTCGACCAACTAACCCAGACGCTAGAAAAACACTTTGCTTTACTTCTTCTTGAAAAACTGTCGGCCCGAACGAGAGGTCCGCGCAATCGCTAAACTCTTGCTGCCACTGGGCTGCGGGAGGATATGGGTTGTTTCATTTGTCCAACACGAACCACAACCACAACCCCAACCACAACACGAACCACAACACGAACCACAACCACAACCACAACCACACGTCCTCGCGCACAGCAGGAGGAGAGGAACATGCCTAGATCAGCGGGTTCCTAAGGGGGCGAGAAAAACGTCATCCGTAAACCGGTCGAAACCCCGTCCATGTCGCAACTTACTTCAAGTACCCCCCCTGGGTCCGCTGCTGTCGCCAAAAACGTGATATCCGATCGGCTGTATATCCCCACTACTCGCCCGTCTGCATCTACGATAGGCACCGCTCCAATACCTGCACCAAAGTTTAGCGAACAATCAACAATCAATCCAGGCATGTTTAGAAAGGGGTGGCAGGGCAGGCGAAGCGTGTTTGAGTTAAGGCATGGACATACTTTGTGATGCAATTAGACGCCCGTATACGATCGAGACAAATTGAGGCCAGAACATGCAAAAAAACTCGAGCAAGTTTTTCATTTTGAAGCGTAGAAGTGCCCAATTGCGATGTCTAATGAAAAACAAAGGGCTTGTACTTTCTTTCAAAGCTTCAAAGAGAGTTGGCAAAAACTGATTGTGTCATGAAAAAACAATTGACCGCCAGCCAGAGATTGCAACAAGCCACGAGGAAATCATGCCACTGCCTCAAACGCGGAGCCAAGTAGCCCATGAAGCAAGCTCGAGCAGACTTGATTAGACTGGGTGCACATCGGCAACGAGTTCGTCCAAATCTTGACTCTCACCACACAACATACCACAGCGCAACACGTCGGCGAGAAGGGCATGCGGCAGGACTACAAAAGCGAGAGAGAATTATAATAACGAGGCGTTACTCATCAGGGGGACAGGCACACTCACGGTGGAGCTCGAGGAGATCGAGAACTTCAGACAGGCAGGCGTGCTCTTGCACGGTCACCACGCTGTCAGAAAATATCCCTATCCGCAGCTCCGCAATAGGATCGTCGAAAAGACGTTGCTGTTCCCGAAACATCGTCACCAGGAACTGCGTGCGAAACAACAAAGGGGGGAACACTCGAGCGTCAGCTACGTAAGAAACGGGCGGGTGGATGACACTCTCATGACGGGGTCGGCTCGTCGAAAGATCGACGCTCCTTCTTTGCCTCTGACCGTGAGGAGCAACTTGAATGTGCAGTAACGGTAACGCGTGTGAACGTACTTCACGGCTGCCTGCATAAGAAGTAAGTACATGGCACATGGGTTCCGCGGGAGAAAACAAGAGACCCGCGGATGCGTCGCGCAAAGGCGGCTGTTGTACATGTAGACTACTGCTGCGAGACACCAAAGCTTAACAAGACCATCAACAGCAGGACCACTGCCGAGGGATAATTCCAGGATTTCTCTACTCTACGCAAGAAAAAGACATGCTTGTCAGAGTTTGCTCCCCGCCCCTCTCCCGATCACACTACACCTCGCTGATCAGACTATTGAACCGCTGGGGGGGAGTATGCGGCATACACGTGGCAACCCATGCCCCCGAAGTGCGTAGAGGTGATACACGACCAACGGGCCAGTCGTGTCAAGAACAAGCAAATACAAAAAAATGCGTATATACGCCCTTCCCCGCCTGTTGTGGCACTACACATCACACATCGTACGCCTCAAACTCTGCACTGCTTGCGTCTGGAATTCGGACATGTCGGCAACTGGCATTCTTGTCACACTGCCGTTCGCCAAAAATCAGCCGCACACACACTACAAAGAACAACCGTCGAGCAACAATTTCCTCCGGAAGGGCTTCATACTTTGACACAATCCGAGCGCCTGACATCGTAACTTCCTCCACAAGGATTCCAACTTTACACAATTCATGCACCTAATACCGTGTTCTCCATTCCTGCAGTCAGCCGTCTGTCTGCTCACGTACGTACCTCTAAAATCTCTACGTGCGAGATGAGAGCCAATACCGTAGCACTCCCGGGGACGATGATTGGCAAGAATTTGACGTGCCGATTCTGGAACAGAGACGCGGCTTGCAACAGGGAAACCTCCGCATCCACGTGCACGAAGTCCGCCTGAATCGATTCAATAGCCGCCCGTGAGTCATCATGTAGACGGTAACATCCAAGGCAGGGAACCATGGGCGAGCGTCTTCTTTTCTTGTAAAATATAAATATCCACGAGATAAGGCGTGCTATGATATCAATGCCGTCATACATCATTGTCTCCCACTAACGAGCACGCGATAAGTTGAAAACTCCTGCACCAACCCGTGGACTATCGGCGATGGCAAAAGCAAATCTTCGTACACTGCCGTAATATACTTTTGACATGACTCGTAGGTCGTAGCTCATAAATATAAGGTGAGTGGCGTCTAATATTGTCTCGTTTTTTTTTGGCACACTGCACATAAAATACGCAACGTTGAGCTCACGTACTACAAGCATCACACCAGCATGAGCAATTCTACCATACGCAGATGTTGTGCAACAGCAGACTCCTGCTTTTTCTCAGATGTCGCGGCAAAACACCTTGTGCAATACGATAGCTCGAGAATTATAATTTTGCTTGGGGAAAAAAATGAACAGCCTGGGGATTTGACGAGAGGCATAATCTGAAATCGGTCTGGGGGGGTTGCCATCTCTCCGCCTCCTACGGTACTTGCTCAGCCGCCGAAGCAATCGCAGGCAACCGTGTCGAAAGAACCCAGCGGTGTCGCCCACTCGAGTGTGAGGCTCTCGGTCCTTGCTCCGTGCGGAGGAGATACAATCGTCTGGACAAACGGCACTCGCTAGTATATTTGATTTCTGAGCAACCCCCCACCCCTTCCGCAAGAATATGGTGGTGGGAAACGTTTCGGATTTTTTGCGGTGCATCGACCACACCAACTCCTATCTAACTGCGTTCAGCAGGTGTGCGTGAACATGCAACTTCACGAGATTTTTTTCGTGTATCAACTGGCTAAATAGAAGCTGCTGAACATCACCTGAGCAAGTCGCTGGCCCTCCGGCTCCGAGAGCACCTCCTTTATACTCTTAGAAGCTAACTGCTCCACCGCCACCCCACTCCCGCTGCAATGTTACAGCCAGCACAGCGAGAGGAAACGCCGCGTTTACGCCATCCGAGATGACACGAACGGCAGCGATTCGCAAGGAACGAGAACAACGGCATGCACCAGGCACGGCGAGAGAGGAGGACGAGGAGGAGAAAGAAGCGTCAAGGCAGGTAATGGAAATCTCGAAACCGAGTAGAATAGTGCTGTATATGTGGAAACAATGAAATAATGGCAACTCGTATGTTCAAATTCGGAGGGCTAATTGTTCAAACTCGGACGGGGTAACAGCGGCAGAAACACGCTGCCCGCGAGAGTTCTACTACGACATGCCGGTACAGCAGAAACCGAAACCGACTACAATATAGATGATTTTTGTCCAAGAAATGCAAACGTCATAACTTCCTGTTTGTAACACAGCAGTTACAGCAACGCACCAGTGCAGTGCACATGCGGAGTACTTTCCTGCCTGATCGGTGCCGGAAGCAAACACATGGAAGACATGGACACGCAAGACTTGCTAGGCCACAGGCTACACGCAAAAGAGGCAACGAAAAACCAATTGTCGTGCGAGGATTTACTCGGTGCCGAGTCTGTGGGTCAATTGGCGCGTCCACCGCAAAAGGGGACACGAGGACGGGAAGAGCGAGAGTGGCCAGCTGTCACTCGGTAGATCTTAACAGGAAACTATTGTCCCGTAGCAATCCATGTAAAATAACAGAACAGCACCACCAACTGAAACACGCCGGGGACGCAAGCTACAGGCACAACATGCCATCTTGTACATACCTCGCTGAAAAAAAAACGTACCGATAGTGCCGGAGTATGTCGATGAAGTCTGTCACAGTCATCAGCCCCACAAACCGTCGTTCCCGAGAGTCCCACAAAGGCGCCGCCTGCATGTCTGGTGTAACCGCCGCCAGCCCAAGAACATGACCAAGGCACGACACGACACGACACGGGGCGAGCGAGCAGTGCACCGGAGGACCGCACACAAGAAACAAGTCAGTCGCTGTACAACACAAGAACACTAATACCCAAACACAAAAGCACCAAAGCCCGACGGACGTCAACAACATCCCAGGAGGATTGTCCTCCTTCCTCCTGGCCTGTGTCGCGTCATGTGGTGCCATCCACTGCAGTCGTGAGGCACCGCGGCACTGCTCCAACTATTGAGGCGGCGTTTGTCTCGTCTTCGACACACACGGACATGGGCATGGACATGGTCGCCAGAGGTCAGTCACGTGAACCTTCTTGGTGTTGGTTACGTTACCAAAGCGAACAAGCGTTGCACGCATGGATATGCAGACTGTATAAACCTCGTGCAAAACTACGGACGAGAACCGGACAAAAGCAAACACCGCCCAAGCGCGGCCTTAACGACGCCATAGACGACAGTGTTGAGACAATGTCACAACTCATGAACATTTGGCGGAATACACGGCAACGATTGTTGACTTTTTCGTTCTTCGCAATCATGCGCTTTCTTCTGAAACCACAGCGAACCAATCCATACAACCCGAGATATGCACTGAGGCTTTGGCAATGTCAACTTGTTGAACCAACAGAAACAAGACTCGAATCGTCTCCCTGATCTCCGCAGCGAGGGCAAGGACATGCACGTATGCAGCTCACCATGCTCTACAAGCGCGTAGAACGCCAGCTGTACTGGAATACTCGAGTCGAACACCACCACCTTGGGGACATTCGTGAATATTACATCATCCATCACACACGCACGCACACACACGAAATAACCAATACAAGACGGAGGGCCATGGGGGGAAGAGACAGCGTTAGTTACGGTATCGCGTTGATATACCGGTAGGTGAAGCAACCAACGGTGTCGGATGACAACCAGAACAATTTTGAAGCTGCTCAAGCGGTACTATCGTTCTGTCTTGCCTCAGTTCAAGGGTGCGTATGTCGCTCCCGATGACACCCATCCCCCGTGTGTAGTGGAGGAAAGCACGAATAAAGTTGTAAAAAAACTTGACAACAAAACACACAAAACCTCCGCTCCCCGACTATATCGCGGGGCAGCCCTCCTGGACAAGGCTGTATGCTCTCGGGCTCGTTTTGAGGCAATGTACGCCCATCGCCGGACAAATGATATCTGACAATGTTGCACCCTACAACATTATCCGCCGTTCGAGGCAATTCACTGGCATCTTAGCATGCTGTGTTATATGCGTAGAAACCCGTGGTTCTCAGTTGAGTCGCCCAAATCCCTACAACACGCGCCAAAATATTGTAGCCTTACTGGAGTACGCTGCGTTGGCTACAAGGCGGTAGTTTGTGGCGTGGACAGCAGGAAAGGGTCCAGGGTTGTCTACAAGCCTTGCGGATTCCGCACAAGCCTTGCGGATTCCGCACAAGCCTTGCGGATTCCGCACAAGCCTTGCGGATTCCGCACATGCGTTTGTTTTGAGCGATGGATATCATAAGCGCAGCATTGGCGACCATGCCGTGAGACAGGCCCCTACGTTCCCAAAACCGCGAATAGATTTGCGTGCGTCCTCACCTTCCCACTGTGCTTGAGCAGGTCGTAGCACGCATGATTTCGCAAGAAATCGTTGATGCGCTCTTTCCCTGTCTTTTGTGTCACCTCCTTCCCGTTCAGAAACGCCGCCTGCCAAGTCAAAACCCCCCCGCAACAAACCACAACCATGAACCAATGGCATGGCTACCCCATCAAGTGCAATCGGGGTGTACATGTGCATCATCTAACACCCGAGCAAGTTTTCGCCCACTGTGCATACGAGGAGTACAGCCCTTTCTCTTCCTAGCCTAGCCGAAACACAAAGATAAGACAAGACAACGCAATACACGAGAGTACGAAAGAGATCTTGACTACATAAAGTAGTGGCACGTATCGCCTTCTCACTCAGCTCACGGGAAATAGAAAGAAATGATAGTCGTGCAACAGGTGGTTCTTGGGATGGGAGCATTACTCCAAGCCACGGGAACAAAATCGAGGTAAGGGTGGATTCGATCCACAGCTTGGGGAACGAGTTGCGTACAACAGACACACAACGCACGGTCCCCTTGACACTTGAAGAGACCAAGCCCATCACGAGATACTTAAAGTCTATCTCGATGCAATCCTCATGGACGAATAGCAGTATCATATATCCTAGGAGATGGAGTGTGGTATCCTGAGGCGTAGGCCCTTTGGCTGAACTAACTCTGCATAAACCTCAATGCCTTGACGTCGCCCCTGTTGTCAGGAAGCGAAGACAAGACAGACACATGCCCCCCCTTGCCTGTGGTTCGTTCATCTGCATCAGATCCTCCGGCGCAGCTGGAATTGCGTCGCCATCTTCCATCTCGTCTTCGCCTGCGGAGAGAACAGGGAGAGCACCAACACAAAAAGACACCCACTTTACAGTACTGTAGCCAGAACCCTTTTTTGGATCTTACCAACACTGAAAAACGCTCTGCGAGGATGACAGTCTCGTTCGAGGAAGAGGGTAAGATGGTTGTTTCGGGACCCTTGAAAAAGTGAAGATTAACGTGCACTCCGAGAACCGTACTTCGGTCTATGACAAAGATTGGAAGAAGGATTTGAACAGAGTGGTAAAAGCCTTGAGTAACGCTGCAATGCGCCTGGCCATTTCACCAACAGCCCCATGGCGGGCACCCCGCACTATCATCCACAGCAAGAGAGCTCCAGTGGGGCGTACTATATTGTGCGGATAACAGCTTGGGATCATTTGATGCCCTTCTGGTGCGGGTACTCCCAGAGACATGCGAGAGCGTGCAGACTTCGTGGATCGGCGTGACACCCAGCCACAGGAACCCCAATATTGCTACACGCGTTGGTCTCCCAGGCTTCGGGTCTTACACCCCTTGCAGCCTTTGAAGCGATCCCATTTGAACCGCTCTCCCTACCCCTCACCTCCGTGGCTTGTTCGACTCCAACTCTAGCGACCGCAGACAAAGCTACCCGAGCGATGCCGACAGCACCGAGATCGTGCGAGTGGCCAGCCTCAACAACAGGCTGATGGCTGAAGCCAGTAAGGAGGCGAAACCATTAAGGAGGGGATTTCCTTTCCCTTTTTTCCCTCGGTGCCCTTTATTCCCTCGGTGGAATGAGATGTGCGGGATGTGTATGTGCGATGTGGTACTGAATAAGCATCGACCGCTATAGCCGGCTGACCTCTGAAAATACATCAGTCTTGTACGTGGCTGGATAAGAAAGGCAAACACACGTTTTCTAATCAACGTGTGTGTGTTCGTCTCATTTATTCTGGCGCCAGTCTAAACACTCTCGGAGTCGAGTTGTACGTGATTGATGGATCAGCCGGGATCAGACAGGAGGCAGGCCACTTTGCGTTTTTTTTTGCCCCAAAGTTCCTCCTGCGGTACAATTGCTACAAAATTCTTTACCGCGAGGATGATTCCGTCCCTTTCCCTCGTCGACCATAGCGTCCAAGTGTGTATAATCACGAAACTAATCGTTTTCCCCTTCAAATTGTACGCAAAGAAAACTCTCCAGAGAAATAATCGAACCCACTAGTGGCTTTACGAGTTACTTCTATATAAAAAACACGTACGTGTACCTACACAGCGGGACGACCGACGGCTTGGGTTTCGAGTGTCGAGTTTCAAGTCAATATACAAGTATTCGTCGGGTATTTATCGGTGAAACACCGGGGGAAAATGCCACGCTACCGCTTCATGTATCGGCAAATGAACATGTCCTCCTCAATCATACCATACGCCTTAACAACCACAGAAGGGCCACAAACCATCAACATGCAACAGCAGCATTAGTCGAATGGACCCGCGCAACTGCTGTGTTGGTCCCTCGCGCCTCACGCGGCAATTAACCCGCGCCTAAACGCGGCGGCACCAGACTTCTCCGGGATATATTTTGTGTATTTCTCGATCAAACAACCCTCACCTGGGGGAGGTCCACGGGCTGATCGCGCTTGCCGCGGCTACTAGTATCCAAATAGACTCCACGTTAGCGAACCCTGGTGGGTCACCGCTTCTCCGTGGGCGCTGGGACAGGCGGCAACCAAAGAGCTTAGCAGCAGTAGCGATGATGGCTTTGGGCTGTGGCCTTTTGCGAAGAATCTCCTTGATTGAACTGCAATTGCTCACACACGCCGTGCTCGCAATGCTGCTGCGTCTCCTCCGCGTACCCGCTTCTTTTCCTGAGATACCTCGCCTCCTTCTTGCACAACAGACAGGCCAGCACGCTGGCTACACCCTTTGCAGGTGCTGTAGCGGATAACAAGCACACCTTCGTCCCTTGGTGCGAGTACTGCTGTACCCAAGCTGCGCGCTCGTTCAGTGCAGTAATCGGTTCAGTTGACCTGCGCCACCTGGTGAAAGCCGCGCGATACTTGTGGGCTCCTTCGCTCCGCCACGTGCTCCAAGGGGTGGGGTTCTACCGTGGACTGGTGACGGTTCTCTTTAGCTCCCACGCTTTCACTCTGTCTCGCTGGCTCGCTTGGCCTGCGTCTGCTGTGTTCGTCCTGCTCTCGGTGCGCTCCGTGAATCGTGTCACGAGAAGTGGGGGGGGACGGGGAGGGGGAGGGGGAGATAGATGTGCTGGTCCCGCTGGGTCCATCATGCACGCATGAACGTAAAGGAATGATGGTCATCATATGTACAGCCTCATACAGCCCACACGATGCATTCCATGTCAAGACAGAAACCATCCGACACAGCGCACACTACACACGCATGTATTTGGACCGGAGCATATTTCGTGTGTGCGTACGCGGGTCCATGCCACCATCTGCAGCACAGATTTATTAAGGTTTGCTGTAAACGCGGTAAACGCGGCAGCATTTAGTCTTCTATTTCACCTACAGACAGGATTGATTGGACGCTTGGGCCCCACCACACCGAAGAGGAAATATCTTGCCTTCCTTCTTCTTGGAGGTACACCACCATGTACTACTGCATACCATATGCACAGTCGGTATCTCATACAGTAAGGAGTCTGTTGAAAGCTCGGACGAAATGGAGAACACAAAAGCACGCGCCGGTAAAACGTGCAGAGATCTTTCAGTAAATAAATGGGCAACACCCCGTCTGCGTCACCCATTCATTACGAAGGACCGTCCGTGCCAAGCAAGGGAAAAAAAGAAAATTAATAAATGGCTTGACCACAGCCATCTATATGGAGCCGAGTCGTGCACCACATGCATTGGTCTATTATGTATAGACTATGCATCATACATGTAAAGACAATGTGCATATTTATCTGTTTGCTATACTGGATGTAGTGCTTGTTGTGCACACGTACGTGATGTACAATGTAACCGCTTTCTTTCACATGACATGATATTTGTTTCATGTTTTTTTTTTTGTTCTTCCATCATTGGACTCTATCGTCTGCCCCACTGGCTCCCTTCCTCCACTTGTACTAGCTAGACGACCCAACCGGGGACGCATAGGAGGGGGGGGTTGGACCCCCTCCTGCGGTTCCTGCCTGAGATATTTTTATCGCGAGAAGGGTACAGCAATCCCTGCCCTCTCGACTCATGAAGTCGATCTAGTTTATTGCTATAACAACGAGCTTTGCAGCGCGTCGCTTCCAACTTAGACCAGGATTTATTTAGTGAGATCAAGAACTCACTTTGCCGGGACTCGAACCCATGACCTAGCCCGTACGTAGTAGGCTGCGAGGGTACCCACTAGAACACCGGGGCAACCGGTATGTATACTGCTGATACTGCTGTACGTACAGCAGTACCTCGGTTCTTGGTGCTCAAGACACACAACATACAAAAATTCAATACAGGGGGTTGTTCCTGGTTAGTGCCGGTATGTGCCCAGAAAATTCACCGGCACTACATATACCGGACGGGCACTATTTGAAAGTAAAGCAGTTGAGTTCCCTGTTTCGTGCCGGTTCAATAGCCGGTGCCCGGTACACATTTTGCGCCGGTGTTTTTCGGCGGCACACGCTGAACTTTCAAGTCATTGTCAATACTGCTGTGAATAGTGCCGGTGAAAATTCTGGGCACATACCGGCACTAAACAGGGACCTCTGCTGTACACGTACGACGGAGCTGGCACCATCGAATGTTGCGCGTGAGACAGACACACGCACGTAGCAGTAGGCAGGGTCCCCGTTGGAAAGTGTGAGTGCCTCACACGGATAAACTATGGGAAAAAAAGAAATGAGAATTGATTACAGTAGACCTGCCACATTGGCGTGCCTGCTGGAATCAACAATCCAGCAACAACGCAGTCACTCCTTCCCTGACCCCTCCCGGCATACTCTATTTCCCTCCACCCCCCCTTCCGTCGCTACTCGGCAAGCAAACAAACTTGGCCAGCGGCCAACCGTGGTTTCATGTACCAGAGTCTTCAACCTCAAGGTCACGCTCAACGCCTTCACTCTTCAAGTGCTTGGGACAACTTCGCAGATCTCTCCTGCTGCAAACCAATGCACACAAAAGACTATAAACAAGAATAGACACGGATGTTATCCCTCCATTCTGAACTTCTATTGAACAAAACACCCAACACAACAGACCCCCCCGCCCCCCCGCCTCCGGGAGAGAAAACTAAAATTCACCCAACCTGCATTATACATCCATCTGTCTTGAAGCAGCTCGTCCCAGCAGGACGACCTGTAAAAGAGTTCACCCGAGCATCGCATGAACGTAAACATATTTCTGTTCAATACCTTTTGGACACACCCACCAAGGACAACCATCGTTCGTCGTCAACACCACATGTCGCTCGCTCTTTCGTTTGGCCTCCCCACCTTACGTGTTCTCCCAGAATCTCGCCACCTCCGCTTCAGTTAAGCTGCTCGGGAAAACTCGCAAGTGAATGCGCCAGCCCTTCATCCCGCTTTCAAGCATTGGATTTCCACAAACCAAGCGAAGAGATAAAAAGCATTCGACTATAATATTGGGTTCGTTCACCGCAGTCAAACTTACCTACCCATGGCAAAGACAGAACGTAAAACAAAAAAATCACCACCACAAAGGAAGAACAGAGACTCGCCTAGTGTATCGTCCAACGCCTGTGTTGTATCTCGCCTATAATACGCAGCTACATAGGTGACTGCAAAAGCCTTTACATCACATGCCATGGCCAACATGTTGAAATATATTATGGTACGGAACATGTGGCCTTCTACAAGGCGTGGCCACGTAGGTCCAATGTGAAGAGACTTCCGCTTGAGCAAAGGAGACGCCACCGACAACGGGCGACCAACAGAAAAAAACTACGCGAGCCGGCGCACCTTCAATAGTCTAACACTCACGCTTGCCTCGGTATCGGTACCCCCGCGATACTAGACCAAGGAGAGCGTGCATAGTGCCAAGTGTAAATAAACCTTCGGCTCCAACTCACCCTACCCGAGATGAATTTTGCAACCATGAAGTCATCATGCCATACGTCACACAGCACAACGCCACTTGCGGACGGTCGAAGGGAGTAAGGCCCATTTCATGACCCGAAACCTTCACTTGAACGGAGAGCACACGCGCAAGTCGCGACGACGCAACCAACCACCCGCAGCCAAAATATGTCGCCTGCATACCGCGGCGCCAAACACGGCCTCGACGATAGAGCGAGTTTCCCCGTCCCCCACCCCCTAGTCAGACTAGCTTTTTTTTCTTGAGCAGGTCTTGAAATAAACTGAGCTCCCTCTCGAGTACTTGCTGGCCCTTCTTGAGGTCCTCTTTCACAGAGTTAAAGTCGCTTGAACCTGCATCCCCGTGGTACCAGATGAGCAGGGAGGTCATTGGTAATGGGGTCGGATGCCAACAAGGAGAACAAGGGCATACTTGTTATGGTATTTGGAGGTAGACATATGATCGTGGTTGACCATGGTTATGTGGCGCGGTCGGATGCTAAGACGTGACGTTATGCTAGATTAGGGCTTTATGCCGAGGCATGTGCCCTTCTGTTCCGTGTGCGTGCAGACGATCCATGATCGTGTGTGCTTGGGATATTGTGAGTTGGCTTGGAAAGCGTTAATCATGAGAAAAGAGAACAAAGGAAAGCAACAACAACCTGCACCTGTGGTCGGACAAGAGAGTTCCACACAGCGCAAAGGTGATTGATTCTGAAGGAAGGGGTCAAATCCCATTACATACTACAACAATACAAACGGGGTCCGCGGGGCTACTACACTTGACCACAGAACCCTGTCTGTTCGGGTGCAGACACATCACCTCCGATACTGCCTTCCCTGCTGTTCGTTCCTTCTCGCAGACTTTGCGCGGAACCCTGCAAGTGAACTTACACTTAACGTTCGAATGCCTCCACTCGTTGTATTTGAGGTCCCCGCTTCAAGCGCAATTGTAGCACGTACTCCGTTGAGGCGCTTTCCTGTCTCACCTTCCTGTAGCCTGGTGCCAACTTGGCCTGCCCTCTCCAGGTATAATGCGGAAAGGCGCAAGCGATGGCACATAAGATTCGCGGCCGCACCCTTGATCGAATGAGCTTCATGTTGTGTGTCCTGTACATAGCAAACCGTCAACGTTTTTTCAGACACCAGAATGAAAGAGCTTGGGCATGAGGGGAAATCGTGAGATAAGTGGGCAGCAAGGGAATGGCAAGCGGAAAAAAGAGATGGTGGCCATCGACATGCGTTCTTGACACCTACACTCCTCATAACACACGAACCACAAATGGTCTCCACGCTGCTTGTGGGTGGTTGCGCACACAAAAACACTCACACGCATTGCACCGCGAGGGATGAATTCCCTAAGTTGCTCCATATGCGCGTTGGACTCGTTCCACAGGTCCACAAGCAGTTCCTCAAGGAAAGAAACGTCTCCCGAACACTGTTTCGTGACGCGAAACGTAGGCCCAAACGGTCGACAACAGCGGGGAGGTCAGCGACATGAACGTGCTCTGGCGGATGTCAACCTCACTCAAGTCTATCTATCTGCCGATGTGAACAATGTTCAAAAGAAGCCCTGAGATCCACCCGTTAGCGCTAGAGAGGGGGGTCGCGTGACATAAATTCGCTCCGGATATGTCGGCACACAAGCGTGGTTACTGTCTATTCAGTCGGTAGTGTTGTTAGTTTTAAGAGCTTCCACATGGGAACAGAACGAGCTGCACGCGTGAGGCAAGCTACAATAAGCTTCTCTACTGCATCTGGCATCCATGCACATGGTAAAACAACACAACCAAAGGAGATCATTTGTGGCGTACGAATCCAAGTCTCACGTGACTACCATCTCCGACCCACATGCCGGACCTTCAACCACCGCAACGTACAAGTACCTGATCGACGGCCGCGGCCCAATCAATGACCTCCGTGTCATCCGGCACTCCTAGCTGCACTCCTACGAGATTTGCCGAACTCCCTTGGTCGCTGGACTTCTACAGCAGTATACGTTACCACGGCGGACGGCCGGCGGTGAATCAGCGCGTCAGCAGCAGCTTGTTTCACCCAGGGTAGAAGCAAGAGCGGTGGTGTATTTATTCGACACACATTCAGGCCCCGTCGCACTTTACCTGTGACGTGGAATCGTCTCACGTGTTGGAATGCTCCCGTACGATGGTGGCACGGTGCAATCTTTATCACAGAGGATCCAGGGCACAGCATGCACGTCCGTGTATCGAGCAAGCTAGTACTATCGGCAAGAGCCGTGCAATCCTTCGCTAGCCGTGCAATCCTTCGCTAGACGCAGTGGATGCGTCACAGGAAATACTGGAAGAACCATATCATAGTTCCGAAAGTATTGAAAACTGAAAGGTTCGGACATCCTTACGAGGAAGGTAAACACGCAATGTCAACAAGGATACTCTCCTGTTTTATCAACACACATATCTGCGCTGCCACCGCTACCTCGGACGCTTTCTTGTCTCCGTCACCCGCCTTCTCCATGTTGCCGTCCGGCTGCTGACTCGACGCCTTTCCCTCCTCTTTCGGAACAGGGGTAGCAGATCGGGGATCTTCGCTACTCGCTGTGCTGAGGTTGATTTGCTCGGGAGAAGAATCGACGTTGAGCGCTTGCGCTTCCGCCGCTCTTACCGTTGCCGTTGCCGCTTCCGCTGGTGGGTGATTTTGAACCAAAGAGTCGTCGCCCACGGATGCGCTTTGTTGTGGGGGCTCGACGGTTGCGCGGAGTTCTCCTTCCTTGTCTTGAGGTAGACTGAGCGCCGTGTCAAATTTCCCGGGATCGGGAGCCACTTGGCACGGAGTCACTGCTGATGTTCTCGCCGGAATCTGCTTGAAAAACGCGTATGTGCGGATATGCAATAAATGTTCGGGGCGCGCTCCGAAAACGACTCGCTCAGCCGTCCTGCAGCGCACAAGAAGCGATATCATGGACATCATCTACACACAAGCACACGTGCAAAACAACTTCAAGTTGGTTCAGCGGTACTTGGACGAAAATGATGCGTACATCATCGAGTAGCCCTCTGCCATAGACTAGTCCAAGGGCAAGTCTTGAACGTACCAACAAACCCATGCCCATAATTGTTATTCATCGCACGTGCAGCTCGTTCATCGTCACTTATCATGGTTTCGTATGACTGTTGTGCGATTTTCTCATGTATTGTGGTACAACATCCGGGTGAAGTGCCGGCATGTGCATGTGAAGAATCGGTTGTGACTCTTATTCCACGTGTCAACAGGTGGGAGCACCTACGCATACGAAAGTGACGATTGAGGATACTGCTAATACCCTTTCAATCCGGTTACTTTCCAGCGTGGCAAAGAGTAAACCACTGCATTTCGTGCTGACGACAACCAACTCCAAATCCAAGTCCCCTTAGGACCCACAACACAGCGGTGATACCGCGTCCATTCGAGCATCAAAAGGACCACGCGAACCATGTTAAGTTTCACCGTGGTAAAAAATACTCGTGACGCTACAGAAGATGTAGCCTCAGGGGGATGACGGTCATGTATTCAAAGGCCCTGAAATCTAGGTTTAGCCGGAAGAAAAATGAAAACCAATGCATCCAATACAGAACAACCTTGAAACAATGTGCTTGAATACGATAAACTTCCGAGCAGAACTCGTGGCAGTAGGTTACTTTCGCGGTAAAAGAAGAGACAAGCACCATTCAAGGAAGGCGGAGAAAAAACCTCTTGTGTGGCCTCCCTCCAGTGTGAATAGACCCTATAGCTGGTGCGTCTAAACCAACGTACCCGCCGGCACATTCTTCCGAGGTGTGGTCCGCTCCTACGTCCTTGTGGTCCAGGGCACGTCTTCCGTCCTGGTCGTTACAAGTTATGCGTGAGTCAATGCGTGAATGGAGTCTCTGCTTACCCACTCTTGCTCAACGAATTTCCACGAGCATAGGGCAGCGCTAATTTCACTAGTGCCGTTCGACATGTATTTGTAAAAAAAAAAGGCCGGGGGTACTGCAGCCCCAATATGCTCTTGTTATCTTGTTATTCCGCGGATTCCAATCCACACGCACATTTTTTCGAGATGCGGCCCGCTCAGGCCCTTTCTTTGTCCGGGCACGGCCTCCCTCCTGGCTTCCCTACTGGCCAATACGCCTAGTGCGTATGCCTATCTATGTGCAAACCGCGTCTCGGTCTTCCGTTCTTGCTTGGTTCACCTCCTCATTCGACCAGACTTGATCTCTCTCTAGCGCTGCAGCCAGCATAAAATATGTGACTTGATATAATTTATTTTCGTGTCAATATTTTTCCGGTCGCGTCTGATACTCAGAGCCTTCCATGTATGTGTTGATGTACACAACTGCTGTACTATCATGAAATAAACTGTGCTGTACGAGTCTCTCTCCCTACTGCCGCCCCCAAACCACGATAATTTCATTCTACCGCCCTTCACCACGTTTGTTTTTCGTGTGTGCGCATGAATAATGTCGTCGAACACTCTCATTCAGTCCTGCCTCTTCGAGGCAATGCGTAAAATCCTTGGGCTCCAAGTCCACGTCATCCAGAACGTATCTACTGACACAGATGCACATTGATCATGGTTTTTTGAGCGGGGCCGCGAAAACTGCGAAACACGGTATGATCTAGTGAAAACGTTCAAAGCTCGATTGCTCCACAACAAAGAGGGCGCAAAACCCGGCTATTACTGTAGGTCGAAGGAAACCTTTGACGAGATCCTTCCCATCGTCCCGCCCTGTGTCGGTAGTGGTGCCCTCTCGGTTGTGCAGTAATCGAGCCATGAAAGCCCGTCTGTCTGGGGGAGTGCGACCACTGGCTCAATGACTAGTGTTGAGAGTCCGACTACTGTAGGGGATTGCGATGCTGTTCAGAGTCCGAATATGGGCTTTGCGATACCTGGCACTCGGCCTATCGAGCTCAACTGTTGCACAATACCGGACGCGTGAGACGCTCAAGGTTCTTCGTGCGATTTGGTAGAACGCACAACTGTGGGTATACGTCGAACGGGTAGTCTTTCTGTGTGTGTATTATTTTTCCAAAAATCTTCAACCTCTGGTTCAGTAGGTGAACGAAAATTACGGGTTGATTGCGAGTGGGCAGCTGGCCTGAGGTGACATTCCGCAGCAGGTACTCGTAGATTTCTAGAAACAAGCAAGCTCCTTCAGCAAGACCCTGTAACACTCCACACACGCTCTGTGGAGAGGGCCTGTGGGACCCTTCTTTTCGTACCCGGATGATATTGCTTTTGGCCCTTTTGCTCTACATCTGGTCCTTTCTGCTCTACATGTGGCAGGTGCACATTTTTTGAGTGCCTTTCTCTCCATTTTTCTGGGGGGGAAATAACACGGGCTCTTTCACTGGCACATCGTGCAATCAACGTAGGCAACAGGGGGAAGAAAGAAATACAGCGGGTGGTGGAGAGGCATGGGGGCAAAGAGTAAAGCGGGGGGAAGAGGAGGCCATGGCCTCACAACTACAGCAGCAGAATCCATATGTCGCAGTTGTCTATAATCTCAAGAGTGCAGAATGCAGCACACTGATTCCTCTTGGCGCACACGCCGCAAGCATTTATAATACTTTCATTTTGGATATAGAGTTCATTCACTTATTCCCGACGCACGACAGCAGGCCAGCACTTCGATGGTCCGCCGAGACATTGTTTGCTCGCGGTTCTCGCTGTCTGTGCACCGCAGGGCCCAAGCATCTGCATCTAGACTACACTCGAATGTCCGCTGCGAAAATCGCTCGGTGAGATCCAGCTCGGCAATCGCCCGTTTAGACGTTCCCACTTCCCACATTCTCGTTCGAGAGAGAGGTGCGTCATGTTTTCCGCCGTGTGCGTGCCGACGCGGATTTTGTACGCGGTGGCGACAGCAGCAGTGTAGTATGTCGTCTGCAGTCATCCGCATGGCAAAGTTTCTCAAGAAAGATCCCTGCCTTTGAATACCGTAGCCACCGTCCGTTTCCGACTTTACATATGTAGTCTGGACTGCTGAAACCAAGTGGTGTCGTGCAGTCAAATTTCGGTGTTCGCACGCTCCGACGCCAACAACCAGCTCGGGACACGGAGACACTACCGCTGCTGTTTCCCCGCAACCAGCCTTCGAAGAAACGTAAAGGGCCAGACGAAAACCCACTTCCCTCGCTTCACACAGACCATCGTCTTCATGACCTTCACCATACCCACGTGAAAAACGTCTCACCCCTCCCATTCATGAGTTTTGCCAATGAATAACAATGCTTTAGGATCGTGGCGGCGAAGCCGCCGACCGCTTGAAGTAGGTGTGCAAACGGCCTCAATATCCAGCCGTCTCTTCTTCTTCGGTGCTGTACACATGACTGTTGGGAAATCTAATGTACATGACACTTTTCCTATGTACAACGAAGATACGAACACACACCTTGGTCCCGGCAGGGCCCGAGCCCTTGTCGCTACTGGTGCAGCCCCCAATGGTTGCCACTAGTCTCTCCAGTCGCGCTCAGGAGTATTGGGCGTTGGTTGGTTGCACCGAGAGGGTTGGGCGTGTGTGTGTGTGTCGTGTGCTCGATCGAGCAGGCCAAGGTTGCGCGATGCAGCGGTGCTGCACACACCACCACCGCGTTGATGCCAACGGGCCCGCTATGGTGGCCTTCTGTGGGATCACCTCGGCCAAGGTGTCTCTGTCCGGGACAACGCGCGTCTTCTGTCCAGATTCGGAATGTCAGAAGTAAAAGTGCCGTTTCAAATGAGTTAAGACCTGGAACCTGGAGGGACCTGGTGTCCGGGCTGCTCGCAGCTCGGAGAGCGCGTAGAGGCACGAGGGGTCTCGCAGATGTATTCCGCACATATGTGGATTTAGTGTACACCGTCGCAGCTGTCAGCCCCCCGCAACGTCGGTAAGCGTGGCGGGTGCTGCCTGCCTGTTTCAATCTCAACACCACGTGCTGGCGGTATCACTTTCTCTGCCATCTCTCAAAGGCGGCGAGTGCCCACACAACATGCCTTATTCGGTAGACGGAGATGGAACTTTGGGGGCAAACGAGACTGCATCTGAGGTCGGCAATGGAATCAGCGCAATGCTGGCTCTTAGCGAGCAGGTAATACAACAGCGGTACTACTGGTGGTGCGGTGCGTCGTCTCTCTAGGGAGCAGAATCTGACAGACAATTTCAGATAGTTGATGGTTGCACGTACTAGAGGCTGAAGACGCAGGTACTTAGGTTTTTGCTTCTAGTCACCCCTGTTGGTTTCACGATTAGTCACGATTCCTGCTTGTGGGAGGGGTTAACTGCTGTTTTCTGTTTTCCACCCACAGGCTGGATCCTCCCCTGCCTGATTGGCCGCGGCGGCGGTTTTTTGAATATCATGCAGTAGTGTACACGCACACACACACCGCCCGCACACCCGCTTGTGCTGCCCGCTCGTGGTGTGTGAAACCCTATTAATGAGAGTACGTGAGCGGCGAATGACGTGGTGGACCCGTTGCGATCACTTGGTTTTGTCTACTAACGCGGCACAAATGATTCTCTATCTGTATCCGTGCGAGCCGCATTCTGGGAAGGGCTGTTGTATGCATACGGCTGTGCGTTTCTATCTACTTGTTCACGTATCTACATACGATAGCTATACGACGACAACGAGAGATACGCGGGGAGGGGGGGGGGGAGGGAGAGGGAGCGGCAAGGTGCGCAACAATTGGAGTTGTGACGCTGGTGGTAATTTCTCGCGCCGCAACTGGTTGATTTATTACCGTGTGGATCCAAACACTCTTCAGAGGGCATTCCCCTAAAACCTTGCCTCATCCTCTCTGCGTGGAGGGGGAGAGTGGAGAAAAATGTCGCACGGATGTACAGAGCATTGAAAAGACGAGAGGGGAGCGTCGGGGGCGCATTCTGTCCATGACTTCACTTCCCAACCGCGTCGATCGATGTATGCACACCTGTACAATGGCGTCTCCGCGATGTGCGTGTATTTTGGCTCTCTGGGACGAACTATGTAGGCGGGATCCCTTTGTAGGCGGGTGGCCGGTATACTTGCTGTAGGGTGGGTGAAATCTCTTGGCACAGGTAGCAATCAAGTTGGTTTGTGCTGTATAGAATTATCACGTTGGATTATACTGTGAATAGAGCCAAGTATGTCAACCGAGCGGATGCCGAGGTCGAGGGACCCCTACGGTACCCAGCACTTGGGCTCAAGGGGACGCCTGGCTGCAGCAGACGCCATAGTATCGATCTGCACGAATCTCTCTCTCTCTCTCTGTTTTTTATACCTCTGAATGTTTGTGTACCTCTAAATGTTTTTGTACCTCTGAATGTTTATCTCAGGGTTCGGAGTTCGGCGGCGACGGCTTCACAGACTACCAAGACAGCGTTGTGTCCGAGAGACAAAAGGTATGGTCTGTGCTTCGAACGCGCTCACATCAAACCTCGCGCGACACTACTGTACTTGCATCGACGATACTCTTCGTGAGAAGAAACACCTAGGGTTTTGCCACATTCCTCTTACTGCTTTCCACCCTTTAGCCCTGGGCTCAACCACTCTTGAACTTACGCAATTTCTGGCTAGACAAAAGTCCTGAGATTATCGATGCGCACAACAAACCTGTACTGCTGTACCACTTCTTTTTGCATTGACAATCTCAAAAAATTCCAGAATGGCGGCTACCAGTTTTCCGAAAGCGCGAGTGTGGTGAGCCACGCCCCCTCGATGGAACTCGATTCCGCTTCAGCATATCAGAGCTACGGCCAAGAAGAGGGAGATACCGGAGGCGTGACGACGGGGTTTGAGGGCCTAAGGTGACGCGAGGACGGAACGAGCCGTTTCGGGGTGTCGAGTGTTATTTGTAGCATCAAGTGCACTGGTTCGCTGCGAGTACCCGTTGCACCCGTACGTAGGTTGTCCAGCTTCACACAGCATGTCATGGGATTTTCGCGTTTGGTTTGGCGCCGACAGCTTGTGGAGGGTACGGTAACTCGAAGAGTCCCACATGGCCCCCCTTGCCGCCACAAGTTGTTAGGCATGCATACCCGTGTCCACCCCGTTCGATGCCACGGCGGCGGGTAGACGCTTGGCCAGCGAGCTGTGTCTAGAGAACCCCTTTCGTGGCGTTCAGGAGGTTGCGCCGGAAATGGGACCTGGTGCCAACCGTTTTTTGGATGTTGCGACTGACAGGTTGGGAGATGAGCCAAGGGGAGGACGAGAGGGTGCGATGAGCATGTTGGAAGGGGAAGAAGGCGAAAGGGCTGATGGCGACTACGCCAAAGGTCAGTCGGTCTCGGGGAAAACATGAAGGAGTAGTATACTGCGCATGGGAACTGAACGTTTTTAGAAGCATGAGTATTGGTCATCCGTCAGTCCTCGTCCGGTTTTTGATAGAGGATGTGTAGTAGAACAAAGACGGCTAGCACTCATGAGCCGGGGTCCTTTTCGTTACCTAACCAAGTCGTGGCATGTATTGATTTGAAGACCCGTGCCGGCAACATTTTTGCATGTGTGTCTGTCTGGAGGCAATCGGAAAATTTTGGTCTATCAACGCGGCAGCGCGTCGGAGTTCCCAGTAAGATGTTTGTGTGTTTCGCCGACCTTTACACTGCACTGTCGCGACTACAACGTACCGCCGTGGGGTATGAAGGTACCTCTGAGTAGCTGTGGTCCAGATAGGTTGGTCCCGCTCACGCAAGTAAGAGACAAGAGGATGTGTGGTATTCGGGGTGGGAAAACAAGCCCTGGAGAATTTAAGAGAATGGGCGAATGTTTGTTTTCTTTGAAAAAGAGGGTATTGAAATGCTCACACCATCCCCGGGAAAGCGGTCGGCATACTTGCCACCACCCCTAGTCTGTGTTAGCGGCTGAAACGCGAAGACGCGATACACGCGCGTACGGCAGCAGTGTACCAGTTTTTTGCAAGGTGTCTGTGCTGGTTACGAGGGTCGCGCCACACAGTGGTGTTCGGCAGCCACTTGCTGGCCGCGGACGCTGATATTGCCCTACAGTACTTGCATTGTTTGGTCTAGGGTCACGAGGCGTTCCCCTTTGTGGCCATTGTATTGCGTCCACGGTGTGCTTTCAAGAAAAATACGCAAGCAAAGAAACACTGGCTACTACACCAGACGTATTTAGTCGCGCATTCTCGACAAGCTGAGGATTCCTACCATGTCTGTGGCCCCAACAGTTTTTTTTCAGCCTCGAGGTTATATGTGCTGTGGTGGAGGTACGTCGACATGTACCGTACATCGAGTGCTGTTAGGGCTGATTCGGACTGAAGAGTATCCAACCAGAACCTCTCCTAAAGTTGTTTTCAACGCGCATTACCTGTCAGGCCATCATGTGTGTGCGTGTGGTTCGCATGGTAAGTTTTTTTTGCCCGCCCCCTTGATGACAGATGTGGAGGCTCCAGAGTGGGCGTGCCGTTTTTGTGGCATTCACGATCCGGCGTGCGTCGTGCGTTGCGTGGAGTCGGGCAAATGGTTCTGCAACTCTTGCGGCAATGCATCTGGCAGCCACATTATCCAGCACCTCGTGCGCTCGAGAAACAATCAGGTTTGTACATGGGTGGCGTGCGACCTGATTCTGGAAATGCCGCTAGCTAGTGGAAGACGGCAGTACATATCGCTAGCTAGCACACGAGGACGCTGCATCAACGATCCGACATGTGCTTGCTCTACAATTGCCATGCCCTGTATCATTCAAGGCTCCGTTGCGTCAACGTGTTACCGAGTACCGAGCATCATTGAAAACCCAACGCTACTGGTTTTGCCGTGTTGCGGTTCATGTATGTCGCGCCAATATTTATTGTAGGGTTTGATAGGCTTCGTGATCGGCCCATCATATTTCGCCTAATAGGTTCTACTCTATGGTTTGATGCAGCTATTGCCCCTTAATAGAGGACTTTTATTTAACCTCTGGCATGGCGCTTGCTTTAAACCTGGAGAACATCATACAAAGACGCGTGCGTACGACCTCGACCTTTCCCTTTCCGACCCTGGCACACACAGGTGTGCTTGCACCCCGACTCTCCCCTGGGCGAGACAATTCTGGAGTGCTACAATTGCGGGTCGCGCAATTTGTTTCTGATGGGTTTCGTGCCCGCCAAGGCGGATTCGGTGGTGGTTTTGCTGTGCCGCGTTTGCGTGGAGGGAGCTCCAGGCCTCAAGGTACGGACAACCTTGAGGGTAGAGGAGGCTGCGAAGGTCGTTTTTTGTGTTTGTTCACTCTCATTTACTTGCACGAGTTGCGTCCATTGTCCAGTTTTCTTCTTTTTTTCCCGTACAGCAGTGCAGCCGCGCCCTCGTGAATTTTCGTGCGTGTTTGGTGTGAGACGAGGAACAGCAGTCACGAGGTTTTTTGCCGGAAATAGCCTTTTTTTTCTTTAGCTGTACATTGTATCTCACCCACACAATCAAACAACTGCTGCGCGTTTTTTGACTTGGCCGGTTGGATGGTGTCATGATGTCGCAGGACATGGGGTGGGACCTGTCGGAATGGCTGCCTCTGGTGCAAGACAGACGTTTTTTGCCGTGGCTCGTCAAGGTGCCTTCGGAACAGCAGCAGGTAAACTCGCACCGTTGTGTCCACCTCGCTTTCTTGCCGCCGATGCCCGCTCTTGCTAGTGTTGGTTGGAAGCACATGTGGCGGGTGGAGGGGGTTACAGCTTACGGTATGTCTCATGGGAGGTGATGATTCCACCGGCGGTGACGCGCGTATCGTACTTGCGTCCTGCTCGATAGGGTTTGTTGACCCGCTCCGCCCTAAGTATCCCTCTATGGACCTGCCTCTCGTTCATGGCTCGTTCGATTTCTGTTTGTCTTGTGCTACCGCTCATTGCCCACCGGTGACAGTCCCGGGCGAGGCACATTTCTTCGGCACAGATCGCCAAGTTGGAGGAGCTGTGGAACAAGGAGCCAGAGGCCACGCTAGAGGACCTGGAAAAGCCGGGAATAGACGACGAGGCTCAGGTGCCAACACGGGTCCTGACTGATTGATATTTGGTTCCTCCATGTTGACGTTGGCATCATGCTTGTGTGGTACCCGCGCGGCGCGTGCATTGCTCCGGCTTCCCTCTGCCCCGCCTTTCAGGCAGTCCAAGTTTCCGGGGTTGTTTCCCTTCGAATAGGGTGACAGTCGGGTTGTTCAGACGCTGAGCGAAATCTATTGGGGACACTTTTCTTTGCCTGTGTTTTTGTGGGAGATTTGTTTATCTGCATGCGGGTTACATGAAGTTGGGGCCCGGTGGGTGAATACACTCGGCATAGACAGGATCCGCTGTAGTCGTTCTATTGAGGGACTGGCCCTGTAGAATGAGGGTTTGGAGCCTTCAGATACCACTGTGGTGCGGGCCACAAACACCCCACCAGTGAATACATTGTAAGCACTCTCACAAACCAGAGCCACAGAGCCACACACAGCCTGTGTGAGGGTTGTTCTCTCACACAGCTTGGGGGAGCATTGGTTCTTGTCCTGTTGCTGTACAATACAGTAGCGCTACCCAGTGCCCGCTTCTGTGTGTACATGGTTCGACGACGGTATGCCGAATGTTAAATGTTCTTTCTTTTTTCTTTTCGTGCCTATCCCCCGCCCCTTGTATTGTGCCTCCCCGAGGTTCCAACTTCCAAAGTGTAACGAAAAAAAGAACGGCTATAGGGTATGCCGGTTAAGAGACCCCCCAGACCCCGCTGCTCCTCAGTGGCAGCCCCGGGGACTTGCTTCAATGTGTTCGTTCTGTTATGAAGAGTTGCGGTTTGTTCGCAATACATTTTTCAGCACACACCTCTTGCTGCACTACACCGGGAGGAATGCCGGCTTCGTGAGTCCATCGCTTTTCACGCGCTGCACTTTCCCTTTCTCTAACCCCTCTCTTAGAAATCGAAGATATACCGTAGGGTGGGTCCACCGCACTTTGGGGTCGTCTCAAAACCCGAATATACGGTACCATATTTACCTTCCACACCATTTAGTTGAATCCCATATAGCGTGGAGGCTGATGAATCGGCCGGGCACATTCCCGCACTATTGCGGCCCCCCAACAGCTGTATCCCATATCGCTGGCGTTTGCTTTTGTTTGTTGATGCAGCCGGTGCTGCTGAAGTACGAGGATGGTTACCACTACCAGAACATCATGGCCCCCCTGGTGAAGCTCGAGGCTGACTACGACAAGAGCTCGAAAGATAGCCAGGGTCAAGACGGTCTGAGCGTGCGATGGGACCAAGGCCTCAACAAGAAGCACATCGCGCTGTTCCGGTACGTGGTGTCTACCATACTCCCCGCCGTGCTGTTCCGCTTTTCGTCCCCTGTTGTTTGTCTACGACTTCGTGGCAGTGCATGTGTTGCCGGGACCTCGACAGCGAGCATGCTCATTCGTTATTTTGCACCATATGTAGTGCCTGATTCGATATTTTAACGTTCGTGCGTGCTCCATCTCGACGGCTTTGATAGTCTGGCGCAGAGCGAGGAGCACATGGCTAGGATGACGGCGGGTGACGAGCTGAAGCTTTCGCTAGACCCGGTGGGGCAGCGGGCGCACGGGAAGCCCTGGGAGGGTTTGGGGCATGTCCTGCGAATAGCTGACAGCGAGGTGGCGCTGATGATGCTGGGGGGCATGGTGCCAACCGAAATCACCGACGGGTACCAGGTGACGACTTGTAATGCTGATATATGGGCATGTGCGCGCAGCACGCCATCGCGATTGCTGTGGAAGAGGAAGAGTACCACACCCCACCCGATGTTCTTGGCCAAGCGTCTTCCATCCGCTTCTGCTTCTTCCCCCGTGACGAAACGACGTTCCTTCTTTCCTTCTTTCGTGCCCTGGTTGTGGCGCTCGCTTTCGACTTCTCCGCTTCTCCGCTGGAAATCTGGTGTACCATGATGCGTGGCAGGTGGACTTCGTGTGGAAGGCAGTGTCGTATGACCGAATGCAGGTGGCCCTCAAGACCTTTGCGGTGGACGACACGTCGGTATCGGGCTACATCTACCACAGGTATGCACAGCATACAATAGAACAGGTGTTCTTGGACTGCTTGCTTGCTATGTAAGGACCGTTGGCTTCGCAGGCCACCGCAACGCCGGAAACATTGGAACATCATTGCCGTCCGCGTTTTAGCTGCAGGCTGACGTAGTAGAGCAGCGGATTAAACCAAGCCCTTGTGGTGCCGGTCCTCGGATACTCTCTTGCTCCTCGAAGCTGGACCTGCTCTGCTGAGCCGAATGTAAGCCTTTGGCGAGGTCGAAGGTGCCTGATGTTAGTTACCTGATTCAGCAGTTTTTTGTTTTTTGACACCGGTATCTTTGCTGGCCTGGCACGTCGGAAACTTGCTATGGTATTGTCCGTACTAACACTTTTACCAAGATGAAGAGAATGATGACGTGAACGTGAGCCTTGCTGCTTACACTTTGATTGAAGGGAGTCAAACACCCGATTGCCCATGGTACGGACGTACATGACTCAACCGCTTTCCCTTCCTCACGCCACCCGCCTCCACTACTCATCTCGCAAACTTGAAAGATTGCTTGGTCACGAAGTGGAGCCTCAAGTGCTGCGGGTCACGCTCCCCCCCCGCTTCTCCGCGCCGGGGTTACCGGAGCTCAATCATTCGCAGTTCACCGCCGTGAAGGCGGTGTTGCAGCGGCCGCTGTCTCTGATCCAAGGGCCTCCCGGCACTGGCAAGACGGTGACATCGGCGACTCTGGTGTACCATCTAGCTCGCCAGGGAATGGGACAGGTGTGTTTGATTTGCCGGAAGAGGGAGGAGGGTGAAGATGCGCACGAACGGCACGTGTGTGGGGGTGGCTTTGTGTACTTGTTTCCTCGGCGCTCTTGGGGGGTTGTGTTGTGATTTTGTGTTGAAGATTGCTGTGCGCGGTTCGCGAACGCGTGGATTTCGCCAACGTGCTGTTATAATCTCCAGATTTTGAGGGCAACCCCGACTACGAGCCTTGTGGGAGAGGCTCGGCTTCAGACCGCAACAAAATCTTGGATTTTTTTCTGATATGTGTGTGACGTGGTTACGACACTTCCCGCGCAGGTGCTCGTCTGTGCACCTTCCAATGTCGCAGTGGACCACCTGACAGCCAAGATCAGCGCTACCGGCCTCAGGGTGGTGCGCCTCTGTGCCAAGAGCCGGGAAGCGGTGGTGAGCCAGGGACTGCTTTGGGTTATTTGGTGTCGCTTGTTTTTATATTCATGTATACGCGGAGTGGTTCTGTTGTGTGACTGTTTTGTGAATGACGGGTCCTTCCGGACGACACGGTTTTCATCATGGCGTGCCATCATGATATATCATCATGGTCATGTAGTGAGGGCTGTTTCTTGCTTGCCAAGCCCAGCAGCCCGGGGTTGGCTTATCGTTAACACACACGTTGGACCGCACGGATGGACGCGTCTAGTGAGCGGGTCTCGTGTTGGCAGCGACTGCAGCGCCATACGAACAGACGCAGTATCGATATCTTGTGTTTTAGGAATACAGTGATGATTCCTCTTTTGCGGCAGCAGTGGTCGGTGGCGCAATTTACATCACATCCGTCTTAATTCAAGGGAACCACCAGTGCCAGAAAAGCTGCTTCATGATAGTATGTCCGGTGCTTATGCAGTTGTCTACCCGTCGTTCGTTTTTGCCATCACGCAGTCTACGGACGTGGACCATCTGTCTTTGCACGTGATGGTGAGAGCGCTGGACACGCCAGACAAGCAGGACCTGCGCAAGCTGCAGCTGCTCAAGGACGAGCTGGTGAGAAAATCTCCAGGACAAGTGGCCCTTGAAGAACGTGACATGCATGTCTCTAGATACTTCGCTGTTATAGTACTCACCCCACGAATCCGTTTGCATGGGGAATCTAGTCACGGCACATATTGTCACTAGGTTTCGACAACCAGATTGATTCTCACCTTTTGAGACGGAGGCTGCGAAACGTTTGCACTTGTGTTGTATATTGTGGTTCTAAAGTCCTACAAAGTCCAAGGGCATTTTTTCTTTCGGTAACTCTGGCTCCGTGAGGCTCGGCCTCGAATGCGTACCTACCCCCCCCCACCCCCTCGCCAAATGGAACGGTAAACCAATCTCTGTGATAGGGTGAGCTAGTGGCGGCGGATGAGAAGCGTTTCCGGCGACTTCGGTCCAGCGCGGAACGAGAAATCTTGCAGGCGGCTGATGTCATTTGCACTACCTGTGTGGGAGCTGGTGACCCTCGCCTTAGCAACGTCAACCTGCGCTTCCGACAGGCAAGCAGCATGCCGTTGCTGATACACCTTGCTGATACCGTGTGCGGGACACGTGTTCAAGCGTGTCTTAACAAGTACGAGCAGGTTATCTATTAAATAGCTTCACAAGCGTGGAGTGGGGCGCGGTAGATGAGGCTTTATAGAACACCTCATGCAGTGTGGCTCGCTTTGTCAGTGTTAGAAGTGTCTAATAGGAGTATCACGTCGAGGATCCTCGGTTGGACATGAGAAACATGGTCATCTTGGATAGATAGCGGCGTTTTCGTGCCCAAAAATAATTGTTCGTTTGCCATGCGCTGACGGTTTTTCTGTCATGCAGGTGTTGATCGACGAGGCAACTCAAGCCATGGAAGCCGAGTGCCTCATTCCAATAGTCATGGGCGCCAAGCAGCTGGTGCTGGTGGGAGACCACTGTCAACTTGGACCGGTAAGAATAACTCAATAACCCCACCGGTGCTGGGGTGTTGTTGATGTAGAACGAGATCTTTTACCAGCGGCCAACCTGAGCTCGTGGGATTTAAGGACTTCTACAGCAAGGCATGTTTGTGGTGCCTGGCCTTGAGTTGGTCGTGGGTGTAGGACAACATTGAAGTTCTCGACTCGCCGGCGTGACGCATGCTTCTGCAAGCGTGCATGGCACACATTATGCAGCGTTGTCGGGACATGCCAGTGTCTTCGCTGTACACGCCGGAGCGATAAGATGGCATGTTCTTTTACATTCCTTCAGCAGTTGTCACAGCATTTCTGCCGGATAGGTATTCTAGCTCCAATCCGTGGTCACATCACACAGAAGGGTTCCTCCCCTTAGACCCCCTACAGTACCACCCCTCCTGCCATGTGGTTTTTGGGACAACTCGAAAGTTATACCTCCTGCAAACGTCTGTCTGTGCTATCGGGACTATCTCGACTCTCTGAAGCTGTTGTTGCGGCGGTGTTGTTTCAGGTGGTGCTGTGCAAGAAGTCGTCGAAGGCGGGGCTAACGCAGTCTCTGTTCGAGAGGCTCGTGCTGCTCGGAATACGACCCGTCCGTCTTCAGGTAAATAGCTTGTGTCTTGGCTTGGCACAGCACGTTGGTGGTCTATCAGGTGTAATGGTAGCAACGGTCGTTTTGAACAGGTACACTGCTTTTCGGTTGCGCCGCGCCGAGCAATCAAGTCCGGATATCGTATCGCATGTCCAGCAGCAGCGTTTTGGCGCGAAGAGCTGCGATCGGTTGGCTCCTCCGAGCTTTTTGTGTTTCTCTCATTTGTGATTGATTTTCTCTGTGTTGAAGTGCCGTACCCTGTGGCACATTTTCTCGCTGGTGGGTACCGTTAAAGTTGCTGTACGGCGGTGCTCTGGCGTTGGTATCGTTCGGTGGCGCTTTCAGGTTCAGTACCGGATGCACCCTTGTCTGTCGGAGTGGCCGTCCAACATGTTCTACGAGGGAACGCTTCAGAATGGCGTCACCGAGGGAGAGCGAGTGATGGACCAGGTCAGTCAGTCAGTCACGCGCGATGAAACCTCGGTGCCATGCTGCTGTAACGCCGTGCTCGTCAACCTGTGGTCCCAACTTCATTGAGTTCTTTTCCAGGACAAAATGCAGAGATCGGAATATTTCGCCCTCGTTTCCTGTTCTGTTTGGACGTGCCTTGATCTGGTCCGGGTGTCTTTCCAAGACTTGCCCGCTGCTATGCTTGAACCGAAGGCCTGCGCTCAACACATCATCGGAAATAATTGACATCCATCCTCTTGCTACTATCCGCACGCTCAGTTGCTCATATGCTTGAACACACTCATCAGGTGGACTTCCCTTGGCCGGTGCCCTCCAAGCCCATGTTCTTCCTCATGACAACGGGAGTCGAGGAGATCTCGTCGAGCGGGACATCCTACCTCAACCGCACGGAGGCCACGGCCGTAGAAAAATGTGTCACGAGGTTCTTGCAGAAGGGGGTCACGCCAGACCAGATCGGGGTGAGCTCGCACTTATAAAAGTACCGCTTGAGTACTTACTGTTTTCCATTTGTTGCGGAGAAACTCCACCAAGAGGTGGATCGAAAGAGTATGTTGCTTGGCGAGCCAGAAGCTTCGAGTGCTAAAGGGGTGGGTCAGTCTGGAGTCTGTCCTACGTCAACTGCGTGCGTGTTCAGGTATCCTGTCGCCCCACAGCCGTAGCCCCTTTTTGAGAGATCGACCCGGGTCGTTAGTTGGCGAGTCAGAAACACATAGATTTTTGTTCATGGTTTCTCGAGCCTCATTCCGTTGTTTGCTTGCTTGATCCCGGTTGTGTTGAAATGTTTTGTGTGGTCTTGTGCTGCATTGTGTTGTCTTGTGCTGTCTTGTGTTGCATTGTGTTGTCTTGTCTTGTGTTATCTTGTGTTGTCTTATATTATCTTGTGCTGTCTTGTGTTGTCAGGTGGTGACCCCCTACGAGGGTCAGCGATCGTACCTCGTCGACCACCTGCAAAGAACGGGCTCCCTGCGATCATCGCTTTACTCGGAGATCGAGGTGGCCAGCGTGGATTCCTTCCAGGGCAGGGAGAAGGACCTCATCTTGCTTACCTGCGTGAGGTGAGGTGATTTGTTGCTGCCAGCTGCGGTTTGGCGGGTCGCGGGTCGGCGTTGCTCCCATCACGTCTCCTTCAAGCGTTTCGGAGGGGTGTGGAAGGCTTTTGTGACAGATTTGTAGTCTCTGTCTTTCGCGCTATCCCAGCCGGTGATGTTTACCCCCCTTCTCATTCGCCGTTGGCTGCGCTTGACTCGCACGTTCATGCAAAACATCTGCTCGTTTGGGGGGATTGTGATCGAGGATAGAAACCAGCACACCCGAAAGCTGTACCGGGTAGAGCCACAAGCACAGCAGCGCAGACTCGCGTCATTCCCGCAGTCTATCCCGACCTGGCGTTGTTTTCTTGCCAAAGGCGGCGGCCCCCTGATGATGTTTTTCGAATGAAACAAACCACAGGTCAAACGAGCACCAGGGTATCGGTTTCCTTTCCGATCCCCGGCGCCTTAACGTAGCCCTCACGCGTGCTCGCTTCGGGTGCATCATCATCGGGAACCCTCGCATACTGGCCAAGAACCCTCTCTGGAATGCTCTCGTGAACTTCTACAAGGTGAATTACTGGTGTCGAAGCAGAGGCAGGCGTGGTTATGGTCTTGTGGCTCGTTACATGTAGACCATAAGCACTATAATATCTGCAAGCTCAGAAATTGGGATATGTTTTCCGATGCCTCCGCTGTCTCAGACCAATTAGAGGACCAGTTATCAGAGACACTGACCGCATTGCCTTTCGTTGGTCATCCTTCGTAGTGCCATCATGCTGTATGCCTAAACCTGTTGCTGGTTTGACTCATGCGGAGCAACACTCGAAGGTTTCATCCAATCCATTCGTCTGAACTCCCGGCAAGCGAGCCACGTCTATGAAGCGAAACAACCAAACCGACAGATCTGATGTAACTGCGCCCCACATGAATTCTCTGTGCATGTCCATGCTTGCAGGACCACGAGTGCCTCGTGGAAGGCCCCTTGGACAACATGCAGCCGTCGCTCATGTCCTTCCCGCCCCCGCTCAACAGGCGCAACGATCAGCGCAGGCTCTACTTCACGGCGCTCGCGCAGGGCACACACGCCGCTGCGAACTCACAGGTACACGGAAAACACGTTCTTGAAGCGTGGCAGGCCGACACACGTGCACCTCCACTTCGCAGCGGCCTTTACGCCTAGGACAAGCAACAAGCAATACCAGTTTTATATGGTTCGATCGCTTGTTGCCTTAAGCCTCGAGCAAGCTGCAGGGGTGACGCGAATTCGTTGCAGAACTGTCCGATGTCCGACGTGAATGTCTTCTATCAGACCCCCCACCCTTGCCCTTTTTTCTTCAATGAAGTAGAATCGTGATCGCTCATCGTCACTGCCCGTGCCCTTGTTACATCGAACCTCGGTTCTGGTTGACTCCGTGGTAGTCATGGGACGACAGGGACCGTTCTTCGAGGAAGGGCGACGCCGATCGCGAGCCCATGGACTCTCGCTACGACCCACGCTATTCCATCCGCCCTGACGTAAGTTGCCATCCCATGGGCCAGTGGTCTGTATAATTGCTGCTGTAAAGGCAGCCGTGCTGTGTTGTGACTTGCTTGTTTCTGGCGCATGAGGAGTGTCGGTGAATGTTGTGGTGGTGGAAGAGAAAACCTGGTGGTCCTTGGATTTGTCTCCACTTGCTTGGATTTTGTAGCCTCCCATAGGTTCCTAAAGGTCAAGCCGAGCGCAAGAACATGAGGCGTGATTGGCGATCACTTCCATTCGTGACGCCGTTGACCCCCTCGCACCACTGTGAATTGTTTTCTCATCAGGGTGCGGATTACGGCTACGGAAGCTATTCGGACGCGCCCCAAGCGAACGGCGGACACAGAGGGGGAGGAGGTGACTTTGGAGGAGCCTGGGGATCGGCGCCGTCTCACGAATATGGGTGAGCTTAAGGTGGGCGCGTGCTACGTTGAGCACGTGTCGAAGACAGTTTCTTGTGTTCGACGTGACGCTGAATATTCACTTGCACGTCGGTTCAGTGTTTGTTACGTGTAAGCGTACTCGAGTCTGCAACCGGCGTCTCATCGCTCGCATCGCCATCGGAATACCCACGCTTCACTGCTGTAGCATTCCGCGGTTTGATATGTCATGTTCAGCTGTATAAGGTCGTTTCATTTCTCATGCCTCGATCCCCCTGATACATGTTGCCTTACCATCGCAGCTACGGCCAGTTTGGACCCGGTCCTATTGACACGGGCGCACCGCAAGGCCCCCCCAGTGTTTCAGGGTCGTATGTTTCTGCCAGCCAAGCTTCGACCTCGTTCGGCCAGAACAGGTGCGTACCTACGAAACGAACACAGTTTTTAGTTTTTAGGTGCAGTGCGTTCAGAAGTCGGCCCCGTTTTTTCGCCCAGCTGTTGGTGTGACAGTGTGACCGCTGTTTAGTGTCTCGGCCCCTTAGGTATGGCCTCTTTTTGCGGTTGGTTGTGCAGATATCAAACATACGCAGACGACCGTGTCTTCCAACCGCGCTCGATGTGCGCATCGGCCACTGATATGCTACTGATATGCTACCGCTCACGGTTTCCTCTCAAATGTCCCACTGCAGGTGGGGGGGCGGCCTGGGCGGTCGTGACGATCCGAGGGGGTGAGCTAGTCGGCGAGATGTCTCCCCGGAACTGGAATTTTAGGCGGCCATGTCATTGTTCAGACTCTTGGAAGAATCGAAGTCAGACGAAAGCCAGTCGCGACGCGTCCTCCACCGCCCCCGACTCGTCTGTCTGTCTGTCTGTCCGTCGATCGGCTGGGTTGAGACGGAGCTCCGAGCGTCGGTGTGGTGTTTTGTAGGCTGCCCTTGCAGCTGTCACAATCGCAGCTTTGGTCGGGCAGCCAACTTCCCTAGCCGTGGTGCCCGAGCTTAGGTGTACCGGTGAACCAAGATACTCGAACCTTTTAACGCTCTCTCTCCCGCCCGCGGGCAAAGCTCCAAGCGTCCTTAGCGTGGAAGAAGGGCTAGCCCGTCGCCTGCTCTTGCCACAAAGCACAGAATTGGGGTGGCGGCACACGGCGGATCGCGGCCTTTTTCTTTGCGGGTTTGCGCGCGGACTTGAACACACGTGTGTTCGGTCGGTGCGGAGGTGAAGTCAGAGTTATTGGCGGAAGGGTTGAGGAAGAAACGGGGGCGTTCGGATTTCGGGAAAAGACACGGGGTTGCGCTTCGAGATGGCACGTTTTCTTGATGTGAGGACCATTGAGGTACACCACCTGGTGCCGTAGAGGGCACGACAAGGCTGGATGCAGGAATGCAAGGTGTTCTTGGCGTGTCGGTCGGCTTCACCGCAAGCCGGCCGTAGTCACCGCGTTGCGAGCGTGGTGAAAGGTTGAGATGGTGTGATATTTGCGGCACTAGAAAAACCCACGAAGTTGGCTCCCTGTGAGGCACTTCCTGCCGTCTGCCGGCGACTCACGTCCTCGCAAGATTGGAGCCTTGACTGGACGTAGCTCATTGTCACTGAGACACCGCCGCAGGTGCGAGGGTTGCCAATAGCTTTCCAACCTCGTTGAATAGGCATCGCCGGCATAACACAATGGGATTGGCGTTGCCTCCGATTGTTTGGTCGCTTGGCGCGATCGGCTTGACGAAACGAAGTTTCCGTGAGCTTGCGACGGAAAGTCGTGCATGGGGTATGAGGTAGTGCGGCGTCGGCTCTTTTCTGCACAGCCAGTCCACAAACGCTTGCATTGACTTGCTGTGAAGGTGAAGGTGATATGGCGTGCTTTCTTGTTGTGGGGGTGGGGAGAGGCTCGTATCGCGAGATATAGGTACTCCAATGGCAGGACTGTTCCAAGGGCAGGACAGCTGTCCGGCAAGCGTGTCTTGCCCAAGTGCTGTCGTGAGCACCGATTGATTCCTGTTTGCACGAGTGACGTTTGCCACTTTGCTGGATGGTACAATCTGTGTTAATTTCTCGATGTGATGGACTAATGGACTAGAGTATTCTACACATCTGGAAAATACGAACCGAGAACGGGCGGATACGGGAGTGATCATCGCTCATAGCTACCTAACATTCGAGGGTGGCACATCTTGCAATTTTGGCCAAGGTGTGGTACTTGTCGACCTCGCTCTTGAACTGCAGGGAAGAGACAAAGATATTGGATCCGGTAGAGTCTCCGTGTCAATCCTCTTTTTTGTAAAATCATGTAGTTCGCAAGTACTTACAAGGTTCAAGCAGACCCGAGCGTGGAACACGGCACGGAGCGAAATAAACGCGGGAAAGGAAAAATAACGGGATATAAAACTTAGGGGGGGCGCCCTATCTTGTGAAGAAAATATGCAACACGTCTCTCCATCCTCAAGCGATCGAGCTGTTGCGTGGCAGAAGACGACTCACTGGACGCGTCGCTCTTGCACGAAGTTACACATGAGTCCATGTCCGCGTGCTATCTGTGGGTACTGTCGCTGCTGCCTCGTGCCGGCTGACCCTAGGACACATGCACACACAACAAGAGCGCCAAAGCGTAGGGGTCTCTGAAATCATCGATTGTATGCAACGGCGAAAATTGATGTTCGTGCGTAGGTGAGCGCGCGTGGATTGCAGGGTCGTGCATGTGCGTACGTCGGGTTGAAACCGGTGTACAACTCCGACTTCTTATCATCTGAAAAAGATTATTCCCAAATTTGCTGAGTCGAAGTTCGTATTTTGTTGGATCAGGGTGTAAAGCGGTTGTGACTGCCTCTTCCCCTGCAGCAACGGTGCTCAAACGCCCTGGTTCTTGACAATTGGGTCAGCTAGCTTCCCTGTCTTCGCAAATCTGAGTTCCAACAGAACTTCTGCAGCGAGCTCATGTTTTGTGCCGGTGACCTTCCTCAAAAGCAACACTATGAACTCGGATCGGAGACCTTCCCGGGTGTGCCGCTGTGGTTTCAGGGCCGAAAAAAAATGCCCGCACCCTCTCCTTGGTACACAGACAACATGCACCTGAGTTTCTTGCTGCGTCATAGTACAAGCTTACCGGTTTTCGGCGTGCAGCCATAGCCTTCACTTGTGTCCGCGTAACCAAGGAATTTCGCGACGCCGTCCCAGCTGATGGTTTAGGCCTGCCGGTGAGAACCCAATGTTTTAGGCTGTAGCACTCTGTGTGGAGTTGCATACGACTGAACTTGAAATCGCGCCTATCGATTACAATACATCTGAGGGCTGTTTCGTAACCAAGATGTTTCTTTGCCATGACACGCGTGCATTGACCTACTGTACGATCCTCGGCGGTTCACCTTGGACAAGTGGCGAGTTGCCCTTGAACTGTCCGTACAACTGTTTTCTAGTCGATTCCCTGACTGTGGCAGCAAAACTGCTGACGAAAAGAGGCATTTACGGTCACCTCGTTGTTGATGTTTTCTGGGAGCCCCCCGATATCCTGTGTTGGCCCGCGTTGGCGTGAGGTGCTAGCTTACTCTCTTGTCGCAGCCTCGTCGGGACCGCGGCTGAATCTGTAGGGTTTGGTGCTCGCGCAGGACTGGCAGTTGCCGCAGGCTGTGTCGGTGAAACTGTCACTTCCTGTGGAGCTTCCGGCGGAACTTGGGTAATGATGCCTGGGTCAACGACCTGTGTTTGCGCGCCACAGCGAATATTGCCTTAGGACGTTCATGTCGGCGGCGGCCAACTAACGCTGTGCGCGGTAGTCGAGCTCTTGGTGGTATCGAGATACATGACACACAATGCATGACACAAGCATCCTTTCACTGCTTTTTCCTCTACGGCATCGCAATAACATGCCTCCCCATGCGTTTGTCTTTCTTGTGCCCTACACAGAGAGGGACGAGCTCGGAGCGCGTCCGTTGTGCGCTTGCTCTGGTATCGTGTTTGGGTCAGATTGGCGACGGCCAACGGGCACGGAAAAAAAAATCAACTTCTCCTGTGACGTATCTCGATGAAGTTTTCTAAACTTCCACGCGCCGAGCGCAAACAAATGCGAGCCATGACGTTGGTAAGCGACACACCACATATTGTCGGGAGTATCAATAACCTAGAGCAGAGGCACAGCAAATATTGCATGTGTAATGAGCAACAACGTGCTCTTAGACTTGGATCGGAACTTCACGGTTCTAAAATTGATCTCACCTCACTCCCATTGTCGTCGCCGCCGGGATCAACAACGTATACTTTGTGGGTCTTCACTGTCCCCCAGCTCACACCCTTTCTCCCCTCGCCCGCTGGAGGGCTTGCTGCTGGGGGTGTGTGGTCGACTTTCGCCCCTTGCATCACTTGTGCTACCACCGCAAACAGGAGTGCGACAACAGTCCAGGAGCATGTGGGACGGGCAAGGAGGCGAGGGCCTACTTTTGCTAGCTATGCAAGAGCTAATGTTGTGTTTTTAACGTTGGCGAGGAACACAAACACCGGTGCAACTTCGTACTCACAATGACGACCACCAGCGTTGTTAGCACCGTTTTTCTCCTGTGCCATGGCCTGAATATTTCCCATGTGCGACTTGATTGTCGTGCGCAACAACCGCCTGCTTGCATAAAGGAAGTTATCGGAAGACACAAACCAAATTTCAGTACGTTTCCTGCCCGCACAATCACACTGCTCTTCGTCATGTGTCGCTCTGTCAGTGCCAGAACTTACTTGCTGGCAGTCAGTCCTCTGCTCTTTCACCTGTTTGCCAAGGTACCAGACATTTGGAGCATCGCAACGTTGTCAGAGTCCGCCAAGGGAGTCACTTGTTTCCCTGTCACGGCGTCTTTGGAGTCAACGAGAGCTGCAAAGGCCTGCGAAACCAACGCGGGGGAAATAATCTCGTAAGGGCCGCCAGACTACAAGTTGCATTTCCAAAAATGTAAGCAATCCCCAGCGCTTTGACATACTGTGTCTACTGGTTTAGCACAGAGAATGAAGTAATACCCACTCGTCAGAGCAACACCTGGAACGGCATGGACACGATCTCTTCGTGGGCGTACCTTTTCGTTGACATGGGCATGTAGGATCGCTGCGATATCGACATACGCCCCACTGGACAGTGCCACCCGTGCATTGCTGCACGCAATCCAAAACTTGGAGCCCAGAATTTTCTCTTGCATCTGCGTTTGTAGAACGAACGCCGGGTACAACACAGCGGGGTGCGTCCTACAAAACTCTCGAAACTGATCCACGTTGATATTTCTCGCCAGTCCCAACTCGCTACCCCTGAGCTTTGCCATGATCGTCTGCGCGTGGGTGTTGGACTGGAACTCTCGCCCGTACACCTCCTTCAGCAGGAGTTCCACCTCGCCAATGTCGATTTCGCCGCTATTGTCGTTGTCGTACAGATCAAACGCAAACATTATCAACGCGGCCTTGGAGAGCGTGCAGTAGTTCCACAACGACATGACGAATTCTCGAAAATCCACCGACCCGCTTCCGTCTTCGTCGAATATTCTGCCAAGCAACCAAACGGAGTCAAATGTGCTGTCGATGTGAGGACAAAACGATTAACATGCATCACCCAGGGGGGTCGCGTTCGTGACTGCCTAAAGTAAGCCAAACGGCCTGTTGCTTATCGGCAGGAGCACGCGCTGGGGACACAAGAGTGGGGACACAGTGCTTCAGCACGGCTCATGTCGTACCTGAATATTCGTTTGGTAAACTTGCTCTGCTTCATATCCAGAGCTTCAAACAACTCCCAAAGGCTGATTTCCCCTGACTTGTCCTCGTCAATCTAGGCCATGAAAGAGTCAGGTGACAAACGCGACGGACCGGGTCGTCGATTGTTTTCCGGTGTTTCAAAGCATGTAGTGTTCTGCAACTATTAGGAAACCGCGTACTAGCTTCCACTCTTCCAACACTGGCCGCCCGATCAATGACACCACCAAGAGCATCATTGCAAGGACTTTGCTATCGTAGAAAGCCGGATAGAGTGCGCTATCGAGAACTCTTGGATTCGACCTGTGAAATGCTCTCGCTGCTGTATGTGTGTGCTTCGTCGAAGATAACAAAGGGTTGTTCTTGATTGCCGAGGTTCTGCTCAAAAGGTGCCCGTGTGCATTTGCAAATGAAAGGACGTCAACGTACAGCGGGAACACAAAAGCGAAACACTTTCTAGTCCGCACGGGCTCCTGGGACAGGGGGACGGAGGGCTTGCCTTTCAAAACCCCTAAAACAAATAAAAACAATCAACAAGTGAAACTACGGCATGCCACATTTATTGCTTGGGGTTTTCCTTGAGAGACGTACGTGGTGTCTGCATCCCCTACGCCGAAAAATAACAACAGTCAAAGCACCAACAAAACACACACCATGGCATCATACACTTGTTTTCGTTTAGACTACATGTAGCCGAAAACAAGTACAGAAACACAAAGCGTTGCTCAGGCAGACTAGCCTTGTACCGAAAACAAGTACAGAAACACACAGCGTCGCTCAGGCATATAAGAACCGTACGTCATAGAACAGAAAGGTGATTATGGGCTGCCGCCCCATTTCAGATTTCTCTTGTAATTGGGTGAGATTGGGAGGCATAAAATGGAGATTTGCATCTGTCGTCCAAAATATTCGTCGTCCAAAACCCCCAAAACTGTTTGTGCTGGAAAACTATGGGCATACATTTACCTCACGGCTACCCAAATTCTGAAGCTTTAGCTTCAGTCTCATATTTCAATATCCGTGGGTGGGTGGAACTTTTATTCGCATACCCCAACCCTTGCCCGACCCGGTCTCAAATGCTGATCTCGAGCTACAGTCCAAATGTCGTGGCGCCCCAAGTATGGTTCGGTAGGCAATCGCAAACCATGACCCCTCCCCGAGTTTCAGCAGCTTCCACTTCCTGTGGCCGACACGACTCGGCCTTGATGTTCCTTGTCTGTTTCGCCATGGAAACGGCCGGTTGAACAGCGAAAGAGGGTCCTGCGTGCTGCGCGCCACAATCTTTTTTTTTTTTTCCTGAGTGACCATGCTGCTGTTGCTGAATTGCTTCAGACAAGGTGTAAGGCTATCGTGTCTGTCGCTTTGGGGTGCACGCGTCGCGTAGTAGGCGATGCGCGTCGCTTACTTTGTCGCCTGTTGTGTCGTTATACATGAAAAGCAACAGCAGCACAACAGTTGAGACTTGAGACAGACAACAACAGGCCTTTTTTCTCTCTTGCTGCATATGCATGGGTGGTATGCATCGTAATAGTCTAAGCGGCATATGCATGGTTGGCATACATCGAATAAGGGTGTTGATGCTTTGTGAGTATGCTGCGTAGTCAGTCGTAACTTGAGCGATAAGGTAGATTGCAGCACAATCTTATTTACAACAGAAAGTGAGGAATGGCAACCAACAGTCTGCTGCTCTGTGCAGCGGTGCACATCTATCGCGGACGGACTACTTCGCCCGTGTAGTCATTTAGTCATGTTTTTTGTTCTCACTTCGTCACAGAAGGATGAAAGTTCGCACTACTCTAGTCTAGTTCCAACTCGGCGACTTGTGGTTGTTGTGTTTGTTGTTGCTGAGCCCACTTCGGATACCGCCGTTCGGTACAGATGTCTGACAGCCTGCGGTGGGCCAAAGGGACGAGAGTGAGTGAGTGTGTGTCTTCTCGAGAGTGAATGCCTTGTCTTCTCTCCGCTCTCTTCTTTTAGTCAACCTGTCTCTCTCTCGCCTTTCGCCGGTGGGGTCCCAACAATATCGAACTACGTCAACCGCAGTGGTCTCGAATCTTGCTGAGTAAGAGACTACCCGTGCACCGGGCTGCTGCATGAGAGGCGATGTGCGCTACCTGTTTTATGTCAAGCAATGGACTTGGGGCCCTACCAAAAGCTGGACATGCAGTGCTATGTGACATGTTCCAGCGGCCCAGAGCGAGCGACGACCACGGTGGGTTTTCTATGCTTCTTTTGCTTCCTCCCTCAAGCCTGTCGCGCCTGGCTAACTTGTCTTTGATCTTCTTTTTTCTTTTTTCATGCTTTGTTTGTTGGGGTCCCCCAGCCACCCGCCCACCATTAATTTTTGTTGGGAGGGGTGTTTACTTGCCATGTTCATGACTGGGCCCCGGACGTTTTACTCGCACCCCGTCCATTCCACTTGTCAACACACCACCACATCCTATTGTACCATGCCCACCGACACGTCCAAGGCTATTGGAATTTTGAAGCTTTAGCTTCAGTCTCAGTGTTCAATACCCGTGGAAGTTTCATTCGCATGCCCCACCCCTTGCCCGACCCGGTCTAAAATGCTGATCTCGAGCTACAGTGCAAATCTCGTGGCGCCTCGAGTATGGTTCGGTGTGGAATCGCAAGTCATGAGCCGTCCCCGAGTTTGAGCGGCTTCCGCCTCCTGTGGCCGGCAAGAGTCGGCCTGGACTGTTCCTTGCCTGTTTCGCCATGGAAACGGCCGGTTGAACAGCGAAAGAGGGTCCTGCGTGCTGCGCGCCACATTTTGTATTTTTTTGCGTTTGTTCTTGAGTGACCACTGTACACATGGGGCTGCTGCTGCGGTTTCTGCTGTTATGGTCGGAATGTGCTGCAATGATCGTACGGTTATCGTAGTCAGGTTTGACAACAGTCTGCTCGTTCGTATAGCGGTAGCTGTGCGCATCTATCGCGACGGCAAGCGCATTGAGATAATAGTTCGTCCGCCGTGCTTCTAGTCTACACAGACAGATAGTCGTGTTCTTCTTTGTTGCCACTTCATACCAGACAACAAAGAAAGTCTCCACCAACTTACAGTATCTCCACAGCAGTTCGGAAACGACGACTATTTTTCTTTTGTCGTGTTTGTTGTTGCTGAGCGCACATCGGATGTCGCCGTTCGTTACACGTGTTCAAGCCTGCGGTGGGCCAGAGGGATGAGAGTGAGTGTCTTTCTCGACCAGAGTTCATGCCTTGTCTTCTCGAGTCTCTCTTCCTTTAGTCTACCTCTCTCTCTCTGTTGCATTTTCGCCGTTAGGGTCCCAATAGCATCGAACGTCAACGGCAATCGTTTTGCGTCTTGCTGAGTAGGAGGCTACCCGTGTACCCGGCTGCTGCATGTGAGGCGGTGGGCGCCGCCTCTTTCCGTCAAGCAATGCGCATGGCCCCTACGGTTCGCCGCACATGCAGTGCTGTGTGACAGCTTCCAGAGGTTCAGAACGTCGACGGTGTTTTTTTTTTTTCTTAATATGACACAACGAATCCATCTCTATCATAGAAAATAGCCTTTTTCGCCGGTAGAGCCCCAGAACAACGCGAACCCCGCGACTGTTTCATTGTTTTGGGGTCCCCCACTCACCCACCCATCCATGAATTTCAGCAGTGTTCGTTGGGGGGATGTTTTTCTTGTCATGTCCATGACGTGGTGCCCCGAGCGAGTATGGTTCGGTAGGGACTCGCAAACCATGACTCCTCCCCGAGTTTGAGCATCAGCTTCGGCCTCCTGTGACGGACAAGAAGACCGGAAATTGTCTCGTCATCCAAACAACAGTTGGCCAGTTGAAAAAAAGAGGGTCCGGTCCAACGGTCCGCCGAAGATTTTGTTTTTATGTTTCCCTGCCGACAAATAACCTCGGCTACGGCAGTGCAAATCTCATGGCGCCTCAAGTACGGTTCCGCAGGGAATTGCAAATCACGACCCCTCCCCGACTTTAAGTATAGCTTCCACCTCCTGCGGCGGAAAAGACCGACGTCAAACCCTAGATTTTGTCTGTCTGTGTCGCCATGTCGTCGCCATCCACGAACAGCAGTTGGAGAGTCACAATAAAGAGGGTCCGCTTCGCCACCAAGAAAACAGTTTTTTTTTTCGATTCTTCTACAGCTGGATATGATGCTACCATGTATCGGGTATAGCTGTGGTTGAGCTTGAGGGATATAGGGTCTACGGCAGCATATTCTATGCGAAAGTTAACGCCTTCCTCGCGTAACGATGCGCATCTCCCATGGCAAGCAGAACGGATGACGTCATCATGACGCTATTTCTTGTGACTACAAGTTCAAGTTCGCCCGGGCGTTATTGTTCTTGCCGGAGAAAGAGACTAAACTTCTACTACGTACCATTCCGTGCATGTATCCGGCTACTGCATGTGAGGTAGTGGGTGCTGCCCCTGCTGTTTGCTGCGGTACATGGAAAGCTTCCAGTGGGTCAGAGCGGCAAGGGGGTCTTGTTTCTTCACTTGTTTCTTAGCTCTGCTCTCCTCTACTCTTCTTTGTTTCCTGTCGCTGGCGGTCTCTCTTTTGTTATCGCCCTTCGTTCTTGCTTGCAATAAACTGTGAGGATGTAAAATGGCTGAGTCTGGCTGTTTCTTAGGGTCCCCCGCCCACCCACGACCCACCTGTCGGGTTGATTCATTCGTGGTCTCCAATATTTTCAGCAGTAGTTGTCTACCACAGGACATGCGCTACTACTGCCGCGTCCATGGGTGGGTGCAACAGAAGAGCTCCGGGGACTGGTGGTCTTCTGACCTGATCGCAGAGAGAGGTTCCTGCCACTACCACAAAACGACTCTTATGAAATGTCCATGACGGGGAACGCGTCCTACGCCTCTTCTCTTTTCTTTTTTCCCTCTCTCCCGTCCGGTTATTTCGTTTCGGAGAGGAAACCTAATGTGAAAAGCGCATCTTCTGGGGTCCGCATTCATTTAGTCCCGGATTCTTTCCCAGCGTGCGGAAGAGCGCGTTCTGGGTGTGGTCTCCTTTTCATTCCGGTGTGACGTGCGCACTACATGTATGTAAACGAAAAAAACAGATCAACGAGATGATTCTTGAAAGCATGGAGTCCCTCGCCACAAAAAAGTGCATGCGCATGGATGGGTGTAGTGAGATATGCCGGTCGAAGACTGACGGTTTTTTCGGGTGTGCGTGAGGTCGCCTCTAATATTCGTTTGCTCATTTTTTGCTTCATTGTCCAGTCTATAGTTACTACCTCGCATAGCGTATTGAAGCGAGCGGAGGGTCCTAGACTAATCTGTCGTTGACTTGCGGACCCTTCTTCGGGTCCATTTTATTTTCGTATAACTTGTTTGGGTATGTTAGCCTGTGACCACGGCGGGAATCGACCGCGTCAAGTGTCAGACTATCATACATAATAGTACGAACAGACGAAGAAGGTACAAGAAGGTACTGGGTAGAGAGAACAGAACGAACGGTTTTTTGTAATTAATTGTGAAGACAACAACAACGGCACTGCTGGGTTCGTCCATGGATAGTTTTTGCAGCACTTGTTTTTTAAGTATTTGTGTATAAAACGACTTCTTCATGGATGGGTAATGAGAGGTTTCAATTCAACTACTACAGTAACTTACTTACTGGAGTATGGAGGGTGCTCGTTGTTCTTATGCATGGCATGTACCGGCAGTAGTAGGTGACATAATATATCGCATCATCAATATTCACAGCTAATAATGTTAGTCCACGACGACGAGGATGTCAAACGATAGCTATCAGTGCCAACGCCGCCCGGCCACGATTTTTCTGCTGTGGAGTAATCGAGCTTTGAAAATTTAAAATTGTTCAGGGGGTGTGATATCTTATTGTCATCTACTCTGTGTATAGAACTCTTTGTCGTGCTCGGTGTGCGAGCGTGTCGCGGTGTGCGCCCTCGACTTTATTAACGGCTAAAAAACTGGAAAGCTTCAGACAGGCAACGCGACGATACTCGTCGAGTTGCCATCACAATATAATTTACACAAAGAGTAATTGTGCTACGGGTTTGACGCGATAATTCGCATAGCGTCAACTACACAATTTTGTACACAAAGTCAAAAAGCCTTTTCGCGGTCGCTAAGTTTGAATTCGCTTTCGGCCAAGCGCACGCGAGAGAGAGCGAGAGCGAGAGGGAGACAGAGAGAGAGAGAGAGAAAGAGAGAGAGAGAGAGAGAGAGAGAGAGAGAGAGAGAGAGAGAGAGAGAGAGAGAGAGAGAGAGCGTCTGTGGTGGTGATCGGCTCCGATTGATCTATGCCTTTTGTCTCTAGGACCGCGCGGCGCTTTTGTGTCCGGCACCTGTGTGATTAGCCTATGCTACTGATCTGCATGTCGGAGCCAGATAATGCTGTGGCGCCAATAATATACACACGATCTTGCTGGCCACATGCATAGATACGGCAATCCCTGGTTGTATGTATGTACAGTAGTTAGGCGTGTGCGTTTCTTGCTAAACTGAAGGGCTCTGGTGCAGCTCTTCCTTCCGGGCCTCCGCACGAAAGGCGTTGTCTATACCTATACTACCTGTGCCTGGAGCATTCCATTCTCTCTGTGAAAGTCTAGACTACTGCTGTAGGTTATAGACTACTCAACATCAATTCATCATATCACTTAAAAGGGTGTCGCATAAGCTACCGCGACACATGTGTGGCACAAGAACTCTATGGCACATTCCCACTGACAACCATGTTGATTGGCTTGTTTTGCAGCGTTCCGCGCCATCATTGCGTCGGTCTACGCGGAAAACCTGATGTAATAACCAACGGAACGAGAGAAGCCATTCATAATTTATACACCTGTCCGCCAGCGCTCACCTTGCAATACTCATCCCACATGAGCCTTACTTGCTCCTCCGACAGTTGCAGTGCCTCGAAATCGTGCCTGTACCTCCGTGCCCACACAGAGGTGTCGTAAATCGAAGCCTGTTTCGAGATGAGAGCCCTCTTCGCGATCGATTGACCCATTTCATAAAAAAGTGTAGCTATGGCTTTCGTGAACCAAGCTCTGCGACGTCACGCATGTTCTTGTGAGCGAAGTCACCATTCATATCGGTGGAAGGGTTACTGCTGTGCAACGCACCACTTGCGATGTTCGACGCGGCGAGACCAAATACCCACCAAACATGCCGAACCGCAACTAATAAAACCATGTTTCTCCGCATACATCGTAATAGATACCACTGCACCACTGCACCACACATACTGCAGTGGACTGCTACATGCTCGTGAGTAGATGAAGGTGCCGGACCTCGGAAACGTGAACGGGAAGAGTTTTAATTGTATTGGTATTCTATGACAGTGGGGCCAGTGTGCTGGCGATGTGATCCGGAGAGATAACAATAAACACATGCACGAATTTGACTGCTGTTGTTGCACCTACCTGCTGTACGTTCTGCACCTCCCTACGGCAGAGGTGACATGTAGACCACAATATCCAATGTTCCACATGCAACTATTATTGCGTGAGGGTTCGGGTAAACTATAGCTTTTTCACCACCAGGTGTTGTTGGATCATCGAGTACTCACTCGGGGGGGCATTCGTGGAGACCTTGTGGACATCACAGAGAAGTGACATCATGGCAGCGACAGGGTGGTTGGACGCTCAGATTTCCAGATTTCGTGCCGGGGCCGTGCTTCGGTCCGAAAAGTACGCATCTGGATCCCGACCCTCGATCTTCCATGCTTTCCAGCTCTCGTTGCCAAAGACGCGATCTCCTGAATTGCGGGTCTATAGCTGACACCAGCGAAACCGCCTTTCATGACCTGCACAGTTCGGGGGATTTGCGGAATTCTTGAATTTTGGACCGCCTAACTTCCAAAGAAGGAAGCCCAAAACACATACTGTTGTAACTGTAGTAGGAGATCGTCACAGACCCAGCAGCAAATCTAAGCGTACCAATGCGTATGCCACTGCTCCATGATGCCTTCTGCCCATATGCATATATCAGATCGGTTTCGATTTTTCCTCTTGGATTGCGACTGCAATATGCATATATATATGCGAATCAGACTGTACCGCGCCCTTCGTCATCACTCGAGTTTTCCACACTGACAGGTGACATTGCACGGGTCGGACCGAGCGCAACGTGGGGATAAAGTTTTATCGAAACGACCCGTACAGGTGTGTGTGTCCTCTCCAACTTCTGGATAAAACAACGTTGTTGGTATATGGGAGCTGCCCAACCATACGACCCGTGCAGCAGTATGTAGTTCAATGGGTGAAGACTCTTTTTAATCCGTGTTACTTGAGAAAGAAACACATACTTTTTAATTGCTCCTTAACTACTTCTAGCAAAGTCGGCATCAGGTAGATAGAATGACAGGTGAATCGAAAATCTAAACAATTTGGTACAACGCTGCTCCCATGCTACTCCCATCCTAACGTCCGTGAGGAGACGATCCCGCCCTCAAGGCCTCCTTCCGATGCTGTCAGCAAGAGGGGACACACGGTAGCCCCCTCGCCTTCGCTCTCTGTATCCGCGCCTACTCGCCAACTAGCCCATAAGTCTCGCACGCCGTCTTCTGCGTCTGGGTGCACAACGATTGCGAACACAGCGTCTACTCCCCCGGCACCAGGCACGCCGGCGCAGAGTACTCCCGGAAGAGTCGATGTAGCGTTCACCAGCTTCGTCTGAACCGGCGGCTCGATCGGAACGCCAGCATCCTGACAGATCAACCCGCAGGACAACAGCAGTGGCGTCAGTCGCATGCATCCACGCTTGCGTTAGAACAACGAACAATGAATGAAGGAGACGCGGGGAAAATATGCGTTGTTCATCGAGCGCAGCTAAGCGTACATGCCCATACAAATATCCGCGCTACGGCCATGCTGGAAAGGCCGTCGAACTCTCACCTCCCCCATTTCGCGCAAGAGTTGACGAGCTTTGGCGAAGGCCGTGCGAAGGTGAAGAAGTTCTTGTAAAGAGTCTGCACCCAATGTTCCGCTGCCCGCTAGTTCAGCCCACTTGCTGGGAGGTAGAGCCGACAACACCTGCGCAAGGTGGGAACCAGTACAACGACAGCCAAGTTCCTGTTTTGTACCGAGCTCGACGGGAACAAGGAAAGCGGAATTTTGCCGCATGACCTCTGAGGATATTGCTTATTCTGAGAGTGAAGCACGGACACCACTGATCGAAAAACCATGGCCCCACCTTTGCGTCAGCCTCGAAGCTCTGACCTCCGGTGGATCCTCCAGGTACAACTGCTGCCATAGCAGCAAGCGCGTTAAGCGTCTTGGCGATGACGGTGTTGGTAGAACCGAGCGTTGACCACAATTCTTTGGCTTGGTCAGCGGTCGACGGGTGAGCACGCCATGCCTGCACCTGCCAGCAACCAACGTTCCAAATATACAGATTCACGTTCTGTCCTGCGAGAACGTGCCGCAATCGAGCCATCCGAAGAACTGGCTACATTGAACAAGCAATCACGCCGCTTTTTATAATCAGGGGACCCTCCGACCATATGTAATTCCCAGGGTCATGTAGTTCATGAATTAAATACCACACTCGCGGTGCCTATGTTTTATCCTGCCCATCAATTACAACATAACTCACAAGCGACGAACAAAGCCAAATCCTCTGCAAAAATCATCGCAGGTTAATATCGTGCACGTGTGTCTGACCTTCCGGACCATTGACGGAGTCGACGACCCACCACACACGTCTCCCATCAGCAGTCGGAAGCAGGGTGGCAATCGCAATTGACTCCTTTCTGCATCCCACCCACCCCGAGCTTGAACGCATGCCGTAGTCCGCTCGATAGGGGTTGGGCTTGCGGAGAAACCGCTTGATCCGTCGGCACTAGCTGCGTCACCCGCAGAGAGCGCGTCGGCAAGTTCACTTGGCGAGAAGCGTGTATACGTATGAGTGCCGTACACGGCGGCGGAGACATCGAAGCCGCTGCCAACCTGGGCAGCGATGGGTAACAGCAGCGATCCACTAGTGAAGCGCGAAGCGTTCGAGGATCGAAAATTCACAGTAATGTCCACGACCGCCAACACAGCGGGGTAGCAGACCCCTTTTAAGGTGTGCTTTTACCCCAGCACCTATAGCGATCACCAGTTGAAGAGGAAAAACCCGAACAAAGAAATACACCACAGTTCAACACCACCACACCTTTCCCTGCGCCACGCAGTGGCATGCTTGCGCCAGGTTGTGAGTGAGATCCAAGCTCTCGTTCACTCCCAGAACAGCAGCATCCGTTCCAGATGGTGACCCACATGCCGGCGCCCCTGTCGGTTCTTCGTCCGGGGTACCGTCAAAGCACGGCAGACGAGCAGCACCGAAGAAAGACAGCAGGGCTCCAACCAAGGAAGAAACGAGGGCAGCGGAGCTTCCCATTCCTGTCTTGGCGACCACCACTGCGCCATCTACGGCACCCCGGACGAAACAAATGGCCAGAGGACAAGCAATATACATAGGGGAGCGCAGGTTCCGAAAAGATTGGTTAACTTGTTGTCTGCGAATGTAATCTTCCGGTGGTGTGGCGTGTGTTCCTCCAATATTGATCGCAGGGTGGTATGTCGGTGTTCCGGTATCATCTAGATAGTAAGACAATCGCCGGCAGCACCATGGCCCCGTCACAAGATCCCAGTGACATGGAAACTGACCTTCAGAGACTGGGCACTCCAGAAAGGGTGGTAGCGTGGCAAGCGCGCCCGATGTCGAAGGCAGACCACGAGCACGGAGCTGTGGACGCAAGATCACGAAACGTGGGGGAAACGAAACACACCAAAAACACGACCAATTAATACAATGAGCATGTCGTGGACGTAATGCGCTTGTTGGCATCCCCGGCGATGACCCGTGGCCCAACGACTGAACAGTGTTCACCTATAGGTAGGTATTTCATGTCCTCACTTGGCTCGTCTGGGAGTAGAAGTCGTTGTCAGCCCGAAGCTTGATGGCTAGCGCGTGGCCTTTGTCACCAGCGGAACGCACAGTGTCCTTCACATCATTGCTCTTGCCGCCCCCCACCCCTTTCGCCTGCAGGAGATAGCCCAGGACGTAGGTGAGGGCCCGCTCCACGAACACATTCGAGGTCTGGTCGGAACTGGTGTCAATCAAGAGCAGACAGAGTCAGGGTCGTGACAGCGAGCTCATCGTCGAAACACCAAAAACAAACAGTATTCATATTCGGACGTCGAAGTTTCGCATGAAAACTACCTATGTTGCGTGCCTCTCTTGTTGCTCAACAGCGTTGACACCAAGGTTTCCTGCAAAGCATGCGGTCTCCACAAAATAGATGTAAAACATAGGGTCATCGCTTGAAAGATACACGCACCTGGCGAGAAGAACCGGGAGCCGGCCGTCTTCATACATCACACATTCGTACCAGTGCACGGATCGGAACTGAGGGCTCTCCACCTTGATGCGCAGTAGAGACTGTTGCAAGCCTTTTTCAGGTGCCGCGACCGGGGCAGGTGTCTGTTTGATTATAGTGGGCAGCGTGCGCGGCATGGAGACAACACGAAAAAATGGTTCTTCTGCCCCGCAAACATTATCGTGGGTCATGCTGCTTAAAAAGACGGAATGGACAGATCTCTGCCTCCCTACGACTCCAATTTATTATACGACCGTCAGGCGGCGTGACACGCTGCTCACACTGCGTATAAATGCGTATGCAATGTTGCTCGCATTTTAAATGAACTTCGACGACAAGAGTCACACCAACACCAAGAACACGAGCAGGCTAGGTAGCCCCGAGCTTCCCAAAGCGTCCCACCACACCAATCAAGATGCCATATGTGTGTGGTTACTGTTAGCATTGACCGCGCTAACCGGCTGACAAATGAAAAGGCGTCAGACTTACTGTGGCTGAAAACAGAAAATGTGTGGGTGTTCGTCCCATCTATTTCTGGCGCCATTCCACACACCTCTCGGAGCATGAGTTATCAGCCGGGGGTAACACCGGACGAAGGTTACACAGGGCTTCTTTTAAAAGAGCATGAAACCAACGACTGTGGGTATATCTCAATGGGTAGTCTTTTTGTGTGTATTTATTTTTCGTTAATGCAACCAACGTCTTCGTAGAAACGCGGACGAATCTTCCGAGAAAAATTCTCACCTTTTCTTCTGTCCATTTCACGGACGTAAAAAACCTTGCTGTGGCCGCCAACACTACGCCAATGTTTGGTCTGTCTAGCACGAGGTAGCCTCCTGCGACCAGAACTTTACCAGGTGCCGATACGGTCCTGGAAAAACACCGAAGGGATCTGTTTTAGAAGCATGACTGAGGTGTGCAGTGTGCACTCCGGGGTACTTCTACACAACAATTTTGTTAGAGCTCCAGCCTAATGAGCGCCACCACAACCTGTGCGTGTAAGGGGATCGGTAGCAGAATCTTCTGGCCATACTTGATCGCGATGCACACAAACACCCAAACCGTACAACGAACACCAGAGCACGGCGCCGTGTTCATTGATCGCCGCACACCAACAAAATTTCTGTTCTGAAAAAAACATCTCTCTGGAGAAAACTCCACACGTGTGCTGCGCTAACTGTAGTGGCGTAGCTCTCTTACGTGCATTCTTCGCCGGTGCTGCCGTTCATGTTTGTGCAAACACGAGCCACTACCACGTCGAAGAAGACACGGCAGTGGATGGTAACACCAGTTGTTTGCAATCCAGTTGACAGTCCCGCAGGAGTCAGTGGGGGGCTCCGCACGCTTAGTAGACATATACCCCCAACCTCGGGGTCGACACGCACCTCGCACACGTGCCCTACGTTGGCTGCTGCTGCTGCTACTGCTGTGATGACGTTTGCCCTGTCTGCTATCGTTGCACTAGGAGTCTTGGTGCCATGTGCACATACATTTTCCGGAATTCCGAGTCTCTCCCGACCCACCCAGTCTGTAGAATGGACAAAGCGTCGAGTCAACATGTTTGAGCGGCTGTACGGCGCACCATGGATTGAACCTCCTCGGGGGTGGCGGACTCAGCAGCGAACTCGGAGTGTGTTGATGGGAACGGAGGAGGTGAGTGACGTGTGGTGGCGCCGCCCCAGGACCAATCGTGTACCTCATAGTGGGAGTCTATGGTTTAGATGGACAGCGAACCTTGTAACCAGCAGCACACATTGTCCCGCTGGATCCGACGTGCGGCGAAAGTGTTGCCCACTGCCCACACGATGGCTGCCGTGTCTGGGTACCGTACGATTCTACGAGAGCACACAAACTATGTCTTGTGTGTAACCTTGCATTATTGTATGTAGACAAGCACAGACTTCTTCTACAGCAGTGTTTTTCGAACAAATTGTACTTGGACGCAAAGGTTGTTTAAAACAGTACCGGTGTGTCCATGTTCTCTCTGGTAGGTAAAGGCCACATGCACCTTCCGACTTCCGACAACCTCCTGCAGGTGGAGGACTTCGAAATCGATATGGAAGTAGATACGGAAAAGTTGGAGGTATTCGGGACGATCATCACGGAGGTGAAGATGGAAGGGCGAGTGCCGGCGTCGTCCCACCTGGTGTATGACTGCTCGCACGGGGAATGGCTGCTAGCTCAAATGGCGTACGACCGGAAGATTCGCCTCTTCTCGAGCAGGTGGTTACCGCGGTCACCTCACGACACATGCAGTGACGTGCTTGGTTGTCGCCATGTTGGTGTCGCGCTCTCGCGATTTGGAAGCTCAGGTATATCCTGGGTTATTCAAATTCTTTGTACATTTTATCTACTACTATGGACACTTTGCTTGGTTTTAGTTTTTAGGGGCAACAGAGAAGCTACGCACGAACCGCAGTGTATGCTCCTCATTTCTAGTGTTTTTGGTTGTCCCATTCGACTTTGCATCCCCATCCATCTTGAACCCTCGGCCTGCCAGTCCAAATGAGGCCTTTGAATTGTTGTGCCGCACGACCTTAAACGATGCGTGTCTTCTGATCCCACTCGCTTGTCACAGGTCGGTTCGGCAGCTATTGAGCATCTCGTCGTCATTGCCGGACAACTCGCGGTGAGCTGGTCCAAGCCTTTTAATCCCCATCTCACCGTTCGTTCCAACCCCATTTTCTACCACACTCGCGCGTGTGATATGGAATGAAGCGTCGACGATAGCCCTGTTCTCAGCTTACCACCACTGGATTCAACTTATTGTGGAATTTGTTCCCCCCCTTTTGGCCGCAGGTTTATCTTTTCGGGGGCGCTTATACCGAAGCAAATCAAACGTATTTTGAAGATGAAAGGACTCAGCGCTGTTGTGGCCAGAGACGCGGAGAGTGTGGTGGCGATGGAGGAGTCCATTGATGCGGTGCGTCTACATGAAGGCTACGTGAAGGCTCTTCGGATTCGCGATCTCCTTCGAGTTCGACCCGCTTACCGAAGAAATCTGCTTGTGCTTCACAAGAGCTAAACTAAATTGCGACACGGAAAGCTCTCCTCCGACTTCTAGTGTTTCATCCTTTGGTGCTGTCCAGCGCGTACGCCACCGAGCTGCTGTGGTTGCACATGCACAGCACATGACCATCGTCTATCTGATATGTTGCCGGTGTGTTACGTTCGCCATGAAGAGTTGCACGAGACACTGAAAGCCCAAATCTTCTCGATGGTTTTCTCTTGCTGGTGACGATCCTCATTTTCAGGAGCGAAAGCGTTTGGCGGCGAAAGGACTCTCCAGAATAAGTCAATCTCGTGAGCGCTATTTGCTAGAAAAGGGGGGCGGCGAAAACGGAGCCAATCAACGGGGACCAGTGGGAAGTTTGGTTTCCGGCTTGCGCACGTTTGTCCGAATACAGGAAGGGCAGTCAGTCGACGATGTGGCCGAAATCGTCAACACCATCGAACAAACGTGAGCGAGACATATGTCACTAGGTGCAATTTCATCGTGAATAGAATTTTCTGCACTCTTTTCTCAATGCGTGTTCGATATAAAAAGGAGCGGACGCAGCAACTGCTCAAGATACCATGATTCTATGTTACTTGATTGGCCAAAGCGCGAAGTGCGTATTGTGGGGGGAGCCAGGTGTGCTACTATCAGATTGCTGTGGTTGCACCCGTAGAAAACCATTTGGAGTTCTCTCGTGCTGATCCAGCGTTGATTACGCGTCCACAGGTGCCGAAACATTTCGGTGGTTGGGCTGTGGGGAGGCGATATGGACCCGGAGACGTGTTTAAACATGCTCGAGGCCGTCCGTACAAAATCCGGCATATCCAACCTAAGGGTAAGAGGTTGCTGTTGTTGTGTGCGGGTTCCCGCAAGGTAGAGTAGTGCGGTCGGTGGCACACGTATAAGTTTCCAGTGGGCAACTTGACAACCGTATTTTGTACCATGTGTAGCACACCCCCCGTATCTATCGAGCCTTCATTTGCCACACTCGGTCACATTGTAACAACACGTTCCACTTTTTCGCGTGTTTTCTCTCGCGTTGCGAACCAGGTTGCAATGGAGCATCTTGGCCCCAAGAGTGCAGGGTGGTTCACGGGGTTACGTGGTGCAAGAAGAGGGCCGATAATGTGGACGTTCAACTACGAACTGTGACGTAGCACTAGGCCGTGTCAACCTCAGTTGCCTACGTACACATGCAACACGGGACGGTTTCAAAGCAAAAATACCGCTGTTTCTTGCCTTCACATGACAAACGTTCTGACCTCCGAAATACATGTATGCCGTTCGTACTGATTCAACCGGTAAGAGACGAATGATGTGGCAACAGAGGGACAACGAATTGAGGGTATTTGTCCACCAAGATAGTAAATATTTCATCAGAGAATCAAGGCGGGCCGCTAGTCAATGTTGAGTCGAACTCTACTCTTGGTGGGAAAGGACACAAGCACAACGCAAGTTTAACATGCGTTTCGGCACATCGCACTCCATGCTTCGTGAAAAAATGCTGAATTGATCTCGTTGGAGATTTATCCTACCCAGATCTTCTCTTTCAAGCCCGTAACTTTCGCCCTATATGTGCAAATAGTAGCTCCCCGCCTGCATGAATGGATGCGCGAAGTAGGCAGCGACAGTGCCACCTGCACGTTGCAAAACGTCATGGGCACGGGGAAATCAGCATTAGTTCACAGGCGCGGTTGCCTGCGGATGAGGTATTTCCGATCCAGGTTCGCACGCAAAAAAAAACACCACAGTATAAGCAGCCGAATGAAACATGAAAACGCAGCAGTACACCGTGCGCGCCCTCACCGGCAATGATGAAGTACGGTCCTCGTGCGAACTCCTTCCAATAATCGCTCGGAAGTTGTTGTCGACCCTCAAAAATAGCCTGCACAGCACGGAAAATATCGTCAGACAGGCGAGGCCTCCGGGCGCGCTCGCTTAACGAGGGCCTCCTTCTCATGGTAGGCTTGCAGAATACTCCTTTGCTTGTAGGTCTCGCGGTCTTGATGTACATATGACCCTGGTTGGGCTTTTCGCGTCGCGGGTTGATCCGCACACCAAGCGATCACCCACGACGCCCCTCTTCTTCATTACCTGGTACTGGTTTGGACGCGACCAAGGCGCACGCCACACTTGGCTGTAACTGCAGAAACCTGCCATGTACACTACGAAGTATATCACAGCAGTAGTGCTACTGTGGTGGCACTGCATGTCCCGCCCGCGGCGGACTGGTTCCGTAACGGTGACACTACACTAACGGTGAATCTCGGCGTTGGACAGTTGGATCATCAGCCAGCATGCTCAGTTTGGGGAAGAACAAAAAAGCACGACAACAACGATTTCCCACGAAAGACAGGGAACAAAACGTCTTGCTTGGAGAAATGGCGGGAAATCAACAAATGATTGAAAATAGGCAGTTTTATGTAGTGAAGTCCATCTACTGCCTGCTCTGGCGCAGCGTGCGCGCGAGAAATTGCGTGTTCCACTAACCAAACAACAACCCAATGGGAATGTTCTACCGGCAGTCTGCCGTACGCCTGCTTGCACAACAATGCCGGCTCTCTTTGGCCGCACACACAAAAATCGCAAGAAAGGTCAACTACAATGGATGGCTCACCTGAAACGGAACTGCGCTGGTGCGTTCTCGCACGGCTTCAAAATCGTCGCCATACTTTTCCCTGGGCACGAGCACAAAAGTTGGGCAAGCATGAGCGAAGATGGAACGCCACAACGATATGGAATACAATAAAGAGATAAAAGACGGGGGGCCGCAAGCATCATCCAGCTTGTAATGTGACACAGAGCGTATGCAGCACCACTTGAGACGAACTGACGGGTCGAGTAAGATCGTTTGCCTCTCGCCTCATCACACTCACTTGAGGCGACGATCTCCATTCCACAATGAAAATAAGTGGTGAGCCATGAGCCCAGCTGAGGTTACTGCTGTGAAGGACGTCCCCACCCACGCTAGGTGTGCTGCGCACCACAGAGCCTGCCCGAACGTCTGCGGGTGTCTTGTGTGTTGAGGACGGCGAGGGGGGAAAGAAGCGATTGGCATGAATTCCAACAACACTGGACCTACCTCCACTGCTTGGAGAATAAACTAGAAGCTTGTCGATGATACGCACGTCATAATTTGGTTACAAGCTCCTACAAATCTGCATCCCAATGCAAATATCAGTAGGGCAACGGATAAGCCCACCTTGTGATGCGCGTCACCCCCGTTTCCCAAAGGTGGAGTTGAGGTTTGTCCACAGCCGCAACCTATAAGCGCAAACCACCAGTAACAGATGCAAGATGCGCAAAGGGGTGTGGTAGGGTGGGCAGTCTGCGATGCAACAAAATGCTTCATGTTCCACCATGCCCCGTGAAGAGTGGTCGAGTACCCACTTTTTGTCCGAGAAAGGGATGGGTATACCCACTTTTGCCTATCTCCCTTCTCGAATTCCTCTGAGCGATTTTCGAATGAGGTGGATAGGAGTATAGGTGCCGCAAGCGTGCATCCTCTCGCGCAGGTTTGATTCCAAGGTGAAACTATACCGGTACATATATTTGTATTTTTGAGAAAATCGCGTCTCTTCTTCATCCTCCTATACAACCAAAAGGGTTCATTTTGACTTCGCAGCGTTGACAGGCCGCTTCCAAGTCAAACATGTACGGGACAAGGAATGTAGACAGCTTCCGGAACGAACGTGACAAGGGCTAGCTGCACTCGTCTTTTTTTTTTTTTTGTCTTCAATTCAAATCAGCCCTCACAGCACTAGTGTCGTTTTAGTGCCGTTTGCTCCAACCCGTGGTCACACAGAAGAGCCCCTCTCTACCTTCCCCTCCTGCGGTACTTTGCCTTCGACTTTTAATGCGAGAAGAGTTCAGCACTCTCTTCCCTCTGTGTACACACGAACTAGCGCTATCCACTAAGCCAGGAGCGGAAGCGAGAGAAAAACTCACTTTGCAAGAAAAGCTCGCTTACGCCGGGATTCGAACCCCTGACCTGACCTCTAGAAGGTTCCGAGGTTACCTACTAGACCACCGGGGCGACCGGCTTTGGCAGTTCGTGAGAGGTGAACCTTGCATGTGCGTCTTGATTTAAACAAACTAGAGTCACTATAAGGACAAACCATTCCTTCGATTGGGGCATTTTCTTCGACGGGTAGTTTTAGTCTGACTGTAGAATATTTCTTATAGAAGAGTCTGTTTTCTCTTTCACGTTTGGTTCCACAAAAACACAGCACATCTCTGCTTACGCTCTTTCTCGCTGATGATGATGCGGCAGAGTGTTGTTCAACTCTCGCTCAGATTTAATTCACGGTGGGGGATGGGCAGAGTTGGAAGGCTCCGAACGCCAGTGTACTATAGGGCTAGCCGCGGATCTAGTTGCTCAGAATCGTGCTGTAGCAGGCTCTGGGTGGTGAGACATGTGGGTGTTGTTGTTCCGGCTGGCATCGCTGGTTTCTCAGGACTCAACTAAGTTCAATGTCTAGCAGATTTCCCTTTAATCCTCGATGCGAAGACTTGAGCACATGCGCTCTGAGAACTATCAGGAAGTGGTACAAGCCTCTCTGTGTTAATGCTTGTTATTGTTGCTGTCTCCATACTCTCAACCGTTCCGGTCTCTGCTCAGGACCTTCCAACTTTCGTATTGATCCAACTGACGTCACTACCTGTCGTGTCATGTTACATTTCCTGAACAGAGTCAGTGACAACAATGAAACACGCCGAGCTAGTAACGATAGCACTTCAGCAGTGGGGTTCCGATATCGCGTGTGTGTGCGTTGGGTAGGTAAATAGGGTGCTATAACGGGTCTAGAATGAGTTACGCGGTCACCGCCTCATACCGTGACTGGCTGGTGTGTGCCATTTTCAGTCGCCTTCATCGGGGAAACGCCTTATTCACACCGCCTCACATCGGGATCTGCATTCTGTGTTTGTATGTAATACTGTCAACATGGCGCGGAAGAGCCAGCGAGCACCTGTACTAGCTGTATTCAGTGCTTCTTTCTCTCCCCCCGTCCCTCTCGCGGCGGAGTTGTGGGGGGATGAACCAGGCTTCAGTGTTGGCCGGGGGCTATCCCGTAGATTATTTACTTCGAACGCAGTCGAGCACCCCTTCCTCACCTCGAGAAGATTGAAGGTGCTAGGGTAGAGGAACACGAACGAAATAAAGGAGGTGATCCAGCAGGCGTCGTGAACTCCAGGGACCATCTGCGTGGGAGGGACCACAGTTACCGACGGCACATACTACCGAGATTTGATAACAAGGACGCAACAACCTTGTGAAACAACCACACATCCACTCTGCAGGTGTGTCAAAACAGAAACGGGCGTATAGCTAAGCAAGCACGATAAACAATTGAACCTTCAGCTGTTTGTACTGCTACGCTGTAGCATAATCGACAAACCGAGGTCACGCGATCTTGGAGTGTGGAATATGAGCGGCATTTGCTACCTTAATGTTCCACAGCTGCACCCCGTCGTAGCGATGGTTTATGAAGTACGCCACCGCCGTCACCGCCAGAGGAAGAGATACCACTCCAAAAAGTACCCGCCACGCGCGTGCGCCAATCAGCTCCTCCCCCTGTCGACATGCACGCAGCCATCATCTGTGTCAGTGACATTAAATTGAAACTTGAAAACACCAAAGAAACAACGCAGGAGGGTTAAGCTGTGGCAAAAAGTACAACGCACTCAACCAGTGTACTGCCCACGTACTTCATGAAGAGCACTGATGTTGCCAAGCGCCGCCGAGGTGTTGCAGGAATTCACCAAAGAGCGATTGCACGTGAGAAGGTAAAATATCAGCAAGATGAGCGCGCTGGAGTGCCGACTTGGTATGTCAATCCATTGAGGTACTTACCACCCGTCTGCGTTGCCTCCAGAACGCGACGGGGAGGGGGGGGGGGGGGGGGGGGGGGGGGGGG